ACGTGCTTTTCGGGTAAAATAATCTTGTCCCCTGAAGTAGTCATAGTCATGGAAATAGACCCTTAATCCAAACCAGAAATGCCAAACAATTTTCCCAAATAAAACTAGTTTTATTTCATTTCATTTCCCTGCATTTGGTCCATACCCTTCTAAACCTTTCCTATTCATGTACCTGTCCAAATATCTTTAAAATGTTGTAATTGTACCTGCATCTACCACTTTGGCAGTTCGTTCCCCACACAAACCACCCTCTAGGAAAAAATTGCCCCTCAGATCCCTTTTAAGTCTTTCTCTTTTCATCTTCATTTGGACTCCCTACCCTAGGGAAAAGACCTTTGCTTGTTCGCCTTACCTCATGATTTTATGAATTTCTATAAGGTCACTCCTCAACCTTGTATGTACAGGGAGAAAAATGTCTCTGCCTATCCAGCCTCTGATAACTCAAACCCTCCAATCCCAGCACCATCCTTGTAAATCATTTCTGCACCATCCTTGTAAATCTTTTCTGCACCCTCTCCAATTTAATTATTATCCTTCCTATAGCTGGGCAACTGGAATTGTACAGTATTTCAAAAGTGGCCTCACCAATGTCCTGTACAACTGCAACGTAATGTCTCAACTCAAATAATCAGTAGTTTGAGCAATGAAGGCAAGCTGTGCCAAACGCCACCTTAACCAACCTGTCTACCAGTGACGCAACTTTCAAAGAACTATGTGAAATAACTCCACGGAGGCTGATAACCCGTCACAAGGTCACATATGCATAGTACTTGACACTGGTCCAGCTTTCTCAGAGCCAGCTCTGAGTGAACAGGACTCTGACACTCCTGTTTAGATCTGTCAGCCAGGGCTCCCTGAATGAACCAGGTTACTCAATGAGGTCCACCTGGCTGATCTTGATCCAATCACTACATTCCTCCCCCTCTAAGTCGAAGGACATAGGCATGTTCTTTTTTTCTTTGTAGCCTCTCCTGGGGCATTTTCGCCCTGGATTGGGTTCCTCCGACTCGGCCTTGGGTACAGATGGTGTGTACTGAATTGGAGCCTGCCTCTTGCAACTAGAGCATCTTGGAAGAAATTCATCCTCCTCTTCAGACGGTATAAGCATCACGGCTGCGACATCCACTGTGTCTATCTCAAACTCAGATTTCTTTGACAGTAGACGGAGGAGGAGAATCGGTGGTTCTGATAACCTTCATGTCTGTTCTGAGAGGCTGGGTATGTTTCGCTCCTGCCCCATTTGCAAGTTTGCAGCATTCATGTGGACCACATGCTTGTTCAGGACCACCTCACCTATCCGAATGGTATGTCACAGGACCTGATATCACGTCAACCATGCCTGTTACCAATTTAGGGCCGTTTCTGTGGTTTTGGCACCAAATTTTATCCCTAGAAGTGAACTGTCTCCCTGTCTTAGAGGAATCTGGTGTAGTTGCATGAGGGGTGGTCTGATAATCAAATAGGAATTGGAACAGTTTGGAATCAGATGAAGCTGCAGGCTCTTTCTTTAAACCGACCTTCAGAGTTTGGACTGTGCTTTCCGTCAGATCATTCGATGTTGGATGTTATGTGCGGAATGCCATTTGACTTAGGGCATATTCAAATTGCCAGCTAGTAAATGGTGGCCCGTTGTGTGTGACCAACGTTTCCGTGAACGATGTATTGCAAAAGATGCTTGCAGCTTTTTGGCCATCATCCTGTGTTTGAAAAATGAGCTCTGTGCATGCCCAACCACTTTGAGTGGGTGTTCACAATGACTACTAACGTTGAGCCCATGAAAAGGTTCGGGTTAGTTGATGTGTAACCGAGTGCAGGGTTTACCCTGGCCATTCTCCCCACCACACCATCTCCCCCCCCCCCCCCAAAAAAAAAAATATGGGGGTGCTGCTGGCAGTAGTTTTTGTCCTTGTTGGCACTCTGGGCTCTGCCCCACCGATGTAGCTATGTCTGCATCCAATCCTAGCCTCCAGATGTAACTTCCTGCCAACGTGTTTATTTTCAACACCCCTGGATGACCCTGGTGGAGTTCAACCACTATCTGATGGCAACCTTTGCTTGGGACAATCACTTTTGCTCCCCACAATAAAATGCTGTCTTCTATGGTGATCTGGTCTTGCTGGGTCCAGAAGGTTTCACTTCTGGTTGTGATGGCCCTTTTTTTGTTTCCTCTATCATCACTGGCTGTTTTAATTTTGCCAGGACCAGAACGTTTTGCATCCAGTTTGATATTGTCAGCAGTAACCGGAAGGGTGTCCAGAAGTTTAAAATCAGAATGGACTCCTGTATTAGTGACACCATCAGTGGTGTATCTGCCAACAAGAGGCAGCTCAAGGTATCAGCGTTTGCTACTTTGCTTCCCAGATAGTGTTTCAACTTGTAATTGTATGTACTTTTAATTCGGTGGTGGTCTCTCATCCTACTTGAAACTATGTGTGGTACGTCCTTGTCCTCTCTGCGTAGCCCTAGCAGGGACTTGAGTTCTGTTTTGGTCTTGATGGAATTTCCTCACACCAAAGATGACCACTAAACCTTCCTTCCTCTATCTGGGTATAATTGCGCTCTGCATCAGCCAAATCCAGGAAGTGTACGCTATTGGGGTTCCTCTGCATTGGGCCATCTGTGACCCAACAATATCCCAATACCTTACAGGGAGGCATTGCATGTCAGCACTTGATCTAGCTTGGGATCATAGTGTGCTAACATCTTAGATGACAATAGCTGCTGCTTCTGCTTCCTTCAAGGCTATGCCTAGACAATGAAACCATTTCCAAGGTTGACACTTTTTCAGTAGCAGATGCAAGGGTGCCAGGATGGAGACCAGGTTATGTATGAACATTTTGTAATAATTCATGAGCCTAGGGAAAGACCTAAGCTCCGATACAGAGATAGGAACTGGGGCAGTTTATCTACCAACAGGTGTACCCTGTTCTTGCCGACTCTATAGCCCAAGTTAGTCACTGCCTGGAACACACATTTTTCCCTTCTAACGTGTATGCCTGCCTTGGAAAAATGTCTCAGGATTACGTCCAAGTTGTCTAAGTGCTCTTTATTGGTCTTTTCTGTTGTTAGCACGCCAGCCAGGGGTAGACCTTTGCAAAATGTTCACCATACATGCAGAGCCATGCATGGGTACCATCTAAGAACCGGGTGACTACTTAACCCAGATGCCTATTTTGGTTCTGCTTTGGGTGTAGCTAAACAATTTAACTGTTTCAAGCCAGATGTAGGTGGGCTTTCCAGGGTCTGCACTCTTTTTGATACCGGCCTGACTTCTCTTACTCAATTCAGGCCAAGTGGCAAGATCGAACAATTCATGCTTCCCAACTGACAGTATGATGCCAGAAATGCTTATCCCAACTCAAAGACAACTTCTATGAGTGAATTTCATCAACGTATTTTTTTTTTTCTCTTGTCACCACTTAAATAACTCTACAGAGGCTGGCATCCCATCACCAAGTCACATTTTATTCACACACTGACTGCCTCTGACATTGACCCAGGTCTCTCAGCCAGCTCTGTTTAAACAGAGCCCCTGACATATCTGTTTATCTGTCAACTAGGGCTCCCTGATTAGACCAGGTCAACAGCCCAAATAAGGGATCTTTTACCCTGAGGTTTACCTGGCTGACTTCGTTACAATCACTACACTATGTACCTGAATCACAAGATGTCTTTGTTCAATAACGCTCCCTGCACTACTGTTAACTGTATAAGTGCTGCCCTTGTTCATATGACCAAAATGCAACACCAAATTAAACTCCATCTGCCACTTCTTGGCCTCCGAGTTGGCCAATGCTCATTGCTGGAGAAACACGTTAAACTTTTGTTCTTATGGGGCATTGCTACTTTTGACAGCACCAGTGTCAATCTGCTTAAAGCATTGCATAAATTGACAACAGCATAATTGATGGCTAATAGGTCAGTAAAAATTGGGCGTAGTTTAGTATGTTGTGATTAGTAACAGCAAACAGCAAGCTACCATTAGAATTCTATCAATAAACACTACTAAACATAGATGACTTGTTATTTATGCCGTTATTGGTCACAAAGTGCTATTAAGCACAAAATGTTTGACAATTGGACAAGTGTAACTGCATTTCAAAGTAATTCACTATACGTTTCAAGTATTCCTAACTTATAGCATTATGTAAATACAAATCCTTTATCCTGCTAAATTACAGCAATCACAGGGATGGCCTCACAGATCAAAACAATTTTTCCTAGGTATAAATATTTTCTTCTACACATGTTAGTCTCATTTAGTCATCTAGGGCTGAATCTCTCTTGATATTTTGGCAATGTCATTTTCATCAAGTTTTGTGGAGGGTTTCTCTCCATGAAGCCTTGTGGTTTTCTTGTGTTATTGACAAACTCATCTTGTTAACTACATACCACCACACCCCTACAGCATTCCTCCCTGGTGCTGGACTGACCCTCTCACTTGACATAGCTAGAAGTACTTGATGTTGTTGGAATATTGTGGAATTCCTGGCACTGGCATCATGTTTACAAGGCTAGTGGACAGCAGGTGAAGCGCTGGTAGTTTCGAGCTACAGATCACGACAGTTCACAGACTGGAAATGTCTTGGAATAATTTATTCAAGAGCTGCAATATGCGTTATGTGGGATAGAAGGCAAACTGTTATCAATTGCCATTAATTGCAAATCAGTGGCAATTATGAAACAGGACGGGGAGGAGTGAAGCATAGAGAAGGAAGAATGTGGGGAATGTTTATTTTTATTTCTTTAAGTGTGCTATGGAAGCATCAAAATGAGGACTGTTTTTAATATCTTTACAGTGCATTGGGAGGATAGAGAATGCAAGTAAAGTTGTAGCTAAAGTATATCTAAATTTTTGGAGGATTATCTATCTTGCTTTAATTGTAGTTGGTGCTTGTAAAGGTACACCCTTGCCTACCAGCCTGTGTTAGGATCTAACCTGACTGCTTTGTTTTAGGAATCTAAAATTTTAGATTTACTGTGAATTGCATCCTTTTCAGGGTGGTGAGGACAAGGACTCAAGTGAGAAAGGCGAGAAGAAACCAAAGCGTTGTAAGTTTAACTTAAACAGTAGTTTCTTCAGTGATTGCTGTAAAACATGTAAACCTTGCCAATTTTCATTCATGTACATGATACAGGAGAGTACAGAGTTGCCCTCTTATGTTTTTGGGCATGAATGCTGCTATTCACTCCCTCTTTTACTGTCAATTCTTGAAATAGGGCACCCTAGACTGAAATCCTAGATTGGGGTATCATTCCTAAAATGATACCTAGTCCATGCATAGTTAGGTCTTCTCAATAGAGAATTTTAGAATAGGCAGGATAAAACTGGGTGGAATTCCACCATGTAGGCAGATTATAAAATAAGGTTTGAGGAAAGCAGGCAGGAGCTTGGTGAATTTCGAAGCGCTCCCAAGGATCTTAACTCCCAATCTTAACAGCTTTCCCAGTGTTATTTCTCCTCCATCTCTGCCCAAAAAATTCTTCTGGCTGCACCTTGTCAAATTGTTTACATCCAATACTGTATGTGATGAAATTCCCTTCAGTTAAATGCTGCAAAGGTTTATTCTCTTAATTATGGGAAATAGATGTCACTGTCGGCAATAGCATTAAATGCCAAGCCCTAAGTGCCTTTGAAAAGGCGGTAGTGAGCTGCCCTTCTTGAACCACAGTTCATTTGGTTTGGTACACTCTCAATGCTGTTAGGGAGATAATTCCAAGATTTTGACCCAGCCATGCTGAAGAAGTGGTAATATTTTCCACATCAGGATGGTGATTGGCTTGGAGGGGAAGTTGAGAGTGTTGATGCTCTCTTGTATGTGCTACCCTCGTCCTTCCAGGTGGTGGTAGTTGTTGCACTGCATCTCATGGTTGGTATTCTGCTGCTACTAAGTGTTGATTAAAGGAGGAAGTGAATGTTTATGGGTGTGGTGCCAGTCAAGTGGGTTGCTTTGTCTTGAATGGCGTCCAAGCGTCCTGTGTGGTTTCAGTTATGTTTATCCAGGCAAATGGGGTATATTTCACTCCTTGCATCTTGTAGAGAGCGGGCAGGCTTTGGGGAGCCGGGATATGACTTAATCACTGCTGTATTCCTTGCTTCTGACCTGCTGTTTAGGCCACTATTTCTATGCACAGTCCAGTCTGTTTCTGGTCAATGATCAGTTCCAGGATGTTGATAATGGGGGAAACTAGCGATGATTGATGATGCCAAACTTTCAAGCGATCAAGTTTAGATTCTTTCTTATTAGAGATGATCTTTGCCTGGCAATTGTGTGGCATGAATGCTGCTCACTACTTGCATGTCCACACCTGGATGTTGTCCAGGTCGTGCTGCAATTAGACATGGACTTAAGGTGGAGGGACAATCATTGATCAAACAGCTGAAGACGTTGGGCCTACACAGTGTCTTCAGGAGTGCCTGCAGATACATTCTGGAGCTGAAATAATTGAACTCCAACTATCTTCCTTTGTGTCAGGTATGATTCCAACCAGTGGGGAGTTATCCTTTTGATTTCCCATTAACTCCAGTTTTGCTAGGGCTCAGTGATGCGATGCTTCGTCAAAACCACAAGCTCTTCTGTAGCCTAAGAATCTATCCTACTGTCACACTAAGTGAGACTGTCTACATCCTTGGCGTTCTTACTGAATTGAATATTAATTTAATAACAAATGTTTATTTCGGCATGTAATTACCTCCAGGTTTTAATTTTTGCCAATGAGATTTTCTTTGTTGAAACATACCACCCAATAAGGCAGTGTAAAAGCATTTATGAATGAGTCATGTTATATTTCTGATTTATGTATCTTGTCCTAATAGTCGGTACCAAGGATACCTCACAATTTCCTTTTTTTAACTGGCAATTTTTTAAAAGGCCAGGGAAATCACTGATATGTTCCTTGTGACAAATACCATTTGTTGAATGCAGGTTTTGAACCACCATGGCCAGAGCTCAGTACAGACCCCTTTGAAGCACTTTTAGAGAGATGCAAACAGTGTAGCCTGTTACTAGGGAGTGTACACTTGACAGACTGAGCGGAGGACTAATCACCTCATACGCAGCAAATGAGACTGTTGCAAGGCTTTGGTGCTTTGCATTAATTAATTAAAAGATAATACATTGACAATTTTGTTTTCAAATAGTTCCTACTATGCAAGAGAAGAAGAAGACCGGCAAGCCCAAGAAGAATCGAGACCGCCTCGCAGAGAGGTACTGATCACTAGTGCCATGGTGCTATTTTGGTCAGGAATTAGTTTTTGTCTATCTTGTTTATGATCCACATGTTGTAGAAATGTGCAATGCTGAGTTTCTGTGTATTGTCCTTAAGAAAAGATGGGAACTCCTTTTTTAGCTATTGTCTCCCCTTACTGCTTACAGAGGAAGAATTGGGTGATAGTGGTTACTGTCCTCTCGTAAGAATTAATCACTTCTGTGAACTCCAGTGGTTGCAGAAGTACATCATTTATGTTGGGAAGAAGGAGGCATATCTACCTCCCAGCGCATTCTACACTGGGAGGGGCTGCCACTGCCTTTAGCATGTAAAACTTGAGCAGCTGCCCAAGGCATTCAACTTTAATACTACCTCTACTTAAATTAGTTCTGAATCTTGTATTGGCAATATCAGTGTCTATTTGCGTTGTTAATATGTATATGATTGCCTAATAATTAGAAGTGTAAATAAATGCTTTAGGATTTCTTGATCACCCTCGGGCCAGATTCCTCGTGTTAATCCTGTTTGGGTTTTTTTTGCAGGATAACATATGCCTGTTCAGTCTGTAAGTTCCGTACATTTGAAGATGAGGAGATTGCTGCTCACATGAAGAGCAAGTTTCACAAAGAAACTTTAAAATTCATTGGGACCAAGCTTAAACCTCAGACTGCTGACTTCTTGGATGTATGCATTTTTCTGCCTTTTTAAAATATTAATTTTCTTGTGGGATATCCGACTGTAACCTTGAGTTTATGTTTGAAACCTTGGAGGTTTGTTCCTGTTACTTCACTAGTAGTGAATAAATTCTAAAGCAGGTGACTAAGGTCTCACTGGGTTAAAATGTATGAAAATGTTGATTGCAGTCTACCTTGGCTGTTTCATGTGGCTGTCGACCAAAGATGTGCTTGAATATTGCAGCCAGTGGTGTTTAGATGACACAAACAAATTGCTGGAGAAACTTAGCAAGTCTGGCAGCATCTGTAGAGACAAAACAGACTTAACTGAAGAAAGGTCACTGGACCCGAAATGTTAAGCCTGCTTTCTGACCATAGATGCTGCTAGACCTGCTGAGTTTCTCCAGCAATTTCTGTTTCTGTTTTTGAGTTCCAGCATCTTTTGTTTGTTTTATTGTTGTGTTTAGGGACAGGTTGCTTTGTTTCTCCCCCTCGTTCTATTTTCTCTGTCTCTGTGGCTCTATCAGCTTGCATAATTACATTGTAATCGAGAACAGAATCTCTGGCCATGGCTTCCTCCAGTACAGAAGCTAATTGAATATATCTACGCCACTCTAGCTGATGACTAACCATGCTGTGATCAAGGAACAAATTGGCATGTTTGAAGTACTGATAATTAAGCCTTAAACTGTTGGAGCTTCACAACTTGGAAAAGATTTACAAGAATGTTGCCAGGGTTGAAGGGTTTGAGTTACAGGGAGATGCTGAACAGACTGGGGCTATTTTCCCTGGAGTGTTGGTGGCTGAGGGGGTGATCTTATAGAGGTTTGTAAAATCATGAGGGCACAAATTGGGTAAATAGACATGGTCTTCTCCCTGGGGTGGGGAAGTCCAAAACTAGAGAGTATAGCTTTAATATGAGAGGGGAAAGGTTTAAAAAGGATCTAAGGGGCAACTTTTTCATGCCGAGGGTGGTGCGTGTTTAGAATGAGCTGTCAGAGGAAGTGGGGAGGGTCGTACAATTACAACTTCTAAAAGACATCTGGATGGATATATGACTAGGAAGGGTTTAGAGGGATATGGGCCAAATGCTGGCAGATGGGACTAGATGTATTTAGGATATCTGGCCGACATGGACAAATTGGACCGAAGGGTCTGTTGTTAGAGTCATAGGGTCGTGCTGTACATCGCTATGACTCTAGTTCTTAAGCAGGAGAAATTTGCAGTTTCTAATGTTAAGGGGGAAAAAAGTAATGGATCTCTTGGAGTATGTGGTAGTCTAGTGAAAGTTTAAAACCATGCCCATAAACTCTTTTTGTAGTGTTCATTTGATCTTATGATAACATTGCCGTAATCTGATTCTAAAAGAAGGTATTGCATTCATCTTTTGAAAGCAACTGGTTTTACGTTTTGTAGTTGGGGTGCTATTTGTAAAATCAGATATGTTTGCAAAGGGTCGTTAATCCGTAAAGCCATTTTTCTTGAATGCAGTGAAAGCACATTGTAAACCTGGTAAGTTAAACCTGTCAGCTTAAAACCTAAACTAAGACATTTCGGATCAGCAAGGAACTTGACCAATTTAACTCTCAATGGATGTGCTCTAGATGGCCAAATATGAGCTGGTTAGGTGGATTGGCCATGCTAAAAAATGGCCCCATTGTGTCAGGGGATTTGCAGGTTTGGTATTTTAGTCATCGTTAAAAACCCATGTGGGGTTACGGACGGGGTGTATGTTTGGGTGGGATGCACATTTGGTAGGCTGAATGGCCTCTTTATGCACTGCAGGGATTCTATGATAGACTGGGTCCTCTAATGAAACGTGCCTCTTCCTGGGAGTGCTTAGACCAGCAAAGTTATCTCTAGGTGGAATGCATCTGCAAGTATATTATAGCAAAAAACACCAACACAAGTTCACTAACATCAGTGCTTGGAATCCTCGATGGAGACGTCTCGAATATTATTATCTTGTGATTATTATAGTCGTGAGGATGCAAGAATGTGCCTAAACTCTTCATAATAGATAAATTATTGAGAGTATCACCTCTAAATTTAAATTGTAGTAATGAACACTATCATAGAATATATAATATTTGAACACAATCATTTCACTTAAGCAGACAGTGACCACTCTAAGTGAATATTCAGTGGTCTATTTTCTGACTAATGTCTTAGATGTATAATCAATTCAAAATAGTTATAATGTGACTATTCTACTTTAAATTTGTATGCAATGTTTAAATCCTTAAAAACAATTAGATATTTAAACAAATAAGATTAAAAGAATACTACACTCTCAAACTGGAATAATTCTGTTACAGTGTCTTTGCCTCAACCTTCAAGCAAGTTGGTGTCAAACTTGACTCTTTTGTGCTCTAAGATGAGACACCTCTATCTCTGTCCTGGCTTTATAAGTTCAAAAGTTTATCTGTAGGTATAGAAGAGGTTTTCATTATTAGCTGTATACTGAAAAAATGTTTAATTTAGTCTTTACATCTTTCTTTATGGATGTTTCGTTGGCCTTTTGTCTGGTTTCTGTCTTTCACTGTTTTCAAACAGTAAACACCCATGATCTTTGAGGTCCTTGAGAGTCACACACTAAAAATATTTTCTCTCAGTTCCTTGACATTTGATTAAATGTTACGTGGTGTATTATTTCTATTGATTTCTTTGCCTTAATTGTTTTTGTTTAATCAGTCATTTTCTTGACATGGTTTGGTTCTATTGATAGTTAGCAGCCTTTTGATACCTGAGCAATATAGTCATTCCATGCTGGTGTAAATTTGATAGGCTATGCAACTGTAAGGCATTCCACTGGAGATGTTTGGATGTGCGTACTTTCAGCTGGGATCACTAGCTAGTCATCAGAATTGAGAGTTTGACTCTGGCCAATTACAGTCATGATAATGGAATAGTTTAGGTTAGATGGGCTTCAGATCGGTTTCACAGGTCGGCGCAACATCGAGGGCCGAAGGGCCTGTACTGCGCTGTAATGTTCTATGTTCTATGTTCATAACCATAAGGGTTCCATTCCTGAGAACCCTTGCAAATAATGAAATTCACAAATGCAGCAATCATTACAAATAGGTTAAAATGGTTAAAAATATCACCGGATATGTGATTTTTGCCTGCAATTGTTTTTTGTTGTTACTTAGCATAAATAGATGAATTTGTGATTTGGCTGATACTGAGGATTTACCGTACTTTTTACTTGTAACTCTAATCTGTCAATTAGCTACTGAGCATTAGGGGAGCCAGGCTGACTTTAATTTCATGTGTGGTAATGATCGCTCCAAATTTTATTGTAGGAGTATATCTCTAACAAGAATAAAAAAACGCAAAAACGTCGGGAGCAAATCGGAGATGAAACTATTCTGAAAAAGCAGCTGATGCAGCAACATGATGTACTCCAAGGTAAGTCAGAAACTAATTATTCAATGCCCAGTTGTATTTGATTTCTAAGAATTAATTCTGTAAACTACGATTGTAACAGTTTAAAATAAATTTTTTGAAATTTAGGGAGGCAATTGCCTGGACTACCACTAGACTATTAATCCAGAAACCCAGGTATAGTTCTGGGAACCTGGGTTTGAATCCTTCCATGGCAGATGGTGGAATTTGAATTCAATTAAAAATTTGGATTGAAGAGTCTAATGATGACCATAAAGCCACTGTTCATTGTTGGAAAGCAACTTATCTAGTTAACTGATCTCCTTTAGGGAAGAAAAACTGCCATCCTTACCTGATTTAGCTTACATGCAACTTTGGACCCACAGCAATGTGATTGCCTCTTTAAATTGCCCTCTGAAATGGCCAAACAAGCCACTCAGTTATAACAATTACTAGAAAGTCTCAATAAAGAAATAAAACTGACCACCTGGTATCAACTTAGGCACCTGAAATGGCAATGGTAAAAACAGCCCTATCAACCCTGCAAAAGTCTTCCTTACTAACATATGGGGCTGGTGCCAAAATTGGGAGAGGTGTCTCAGACTAGTTGAGAAGCAGCCTCACAGACATGTACACGTGGTTTCTTACCTTAGATACTATTTCAGACATCACCATTTCTGACTGTATCCTGTCCTGCTGGCAGGACAGACCCAGCAGAGGTGGCAGCACAGTGGTATACAATCAGGAGAGAGTTGCCCTGTGTATCGTCAGCATTGACTCAAGATGCCATGAAGTCTCATGGCATCAGATCAAACACGGGCAAGAAAATCTCCTGATTACCACATACCGTGCTTCATCAACTAATGAATCAATGTTCCACCATGTTGAATAACGTTTGGAGGAAGCATTGAGAATATACTTAGGTTGGAGGGTTTCACTGTTCACGTTCAGGAGTGACTTGGCAGCAGCTCTGCTGATTGAACTGATGGAGTCCACAGACTGGGTCTGTGATAGGTGGTAAGGGAACCAACAAGAGGCAAAATATACTTGCTCTCATCCTCACCACTCTGACTGCCTCAGGTACACCTTCACATCTCAGTAGCGAGTGACTACTGGACAGTCCTTGTGAGAACAATGCCCTGTGTTTATATTGATAACACTTTACATTGTGTTGTGTGGACACAATTACCGTGCTAAAGGGGACAGACTTCATGCACAACTAGCAACTTGAGACTTGGCATCTGTGAGGAGCTGTGGGCCAACAACAGCAGAAAAATATACCTAAAAATGAGGTGACAACGTGGTGAAGCTGCAAAACATAAGACTAGTTGTGTGCTAAACAGTATAAGCCGGAAGTGATAGAACTAAAAATCTGACAATGAATGGATCAGATGTAAGCTCTGCAGTCCTGCTATATCCATTTGAGAGTGGTGGTAGATAATTAAAACAATTCACTGGAGGAGGTTACTCCACAAATAACCCCATCCTGATTGACAGGGGCACTAAGCTCATGAGTACAAAAGTTAAGGTTGAAGCATTTGCAACAGTCTTCAACCAGAAGTGCCAAGTGGCTGATTCATCTCTGCTTCCTCTGGAGATTTCCAGCATCACAGATGGCAGTCTTCAGCCACTTTGATTCACTTCATGTGACATCAGAAAACTTGGAGGCGCTAGGTACTGCAAAGGCTGTGGATCCTGAAAACATTCTGGTGATGGTACTGAAGACTTGTTGTCCAGAACCTGCTGCATCCTTAGTCAAGCTCTTCCACTACATTTGCAACACTGTCATCTACCTGGCAATTGTGCAGATATATCCTGTACGCAAAAAAGCAGGACAAATCCAAACTGGCCATTTACTGCCTTATAAATCCACTCTCATCAGTCAAGTGATGTAAGGTGTTGTCAATTACCTGCTCACTGATGTTGAGCTTGGGTTCCACCAGCTTCTGGCTTCATTACAGCCTTGGTTCAAACATGGATAAGTGTTGAACTTCGGAGGTGAGGTGAGAATGACAGCCTTTGGCATAAAGGGCATACTTGACTGAGTATGGCATCAGGGAGCCCTAACAAAATGAGAGTTTATGGAAATCTGGGGGAAAGCTGTCTACTGGGTTGTAGTCATACATAGCACAAAGGAAGGTGTTTGTGGTTAGATCAGTCATCTCAGCTCCAGGGCATCTTTACAGGAGATAGTAGGAACTGCAGATGCTGGAAAATCTGAGATAACAAAAGGGTCTAGGCCCAAAACATCAGCCTTCCTGCTCCTATGATGCTGCTTGGCCTGCTGTGTTCATCCAGCTCTACACCTTGTTATCTCTACAGGAGTTCCTCTGTGTAGTGTCCTAGACCCAACCGTCTTTAGCTGCTTCATCAATTACATTTGTCCATCATAAAGTCATTGGTGGGTATGATTGCACCATTCAGGATTCTTCAGATGCTGTAGCTATACAAGACTAAATATGGGAAGATCTGGACAATATCTATGCTTGGGATGAAAAGTGCCAAAAAACATTTGTGACCCACAAACGCCAGGCAATGACTGTCTCTCGTGTGAGGCGATCCAGCCCCCACCCTTTGACATTTACTAGCAGTACCATCTCTGAATCTGCTACTATCAACATCCTCAGCTTTACCTTTGACCAGAAACTGAACTGGACTGGCCAGATCAATATAATGGCTGTAAGAGCAGCTTGGAGGCTGGGAATAGTGCAGCAAATAACTCTGACCTGACTCCCCAAAGCCTGTCCAACATTGAAAAGGCACAATTCAGGTTTGTAATCAAACACTCATCTGAAAAAGTGGGGAGTATATCTCCAGCCACAGTTGAGAAACTTGTCATCATTCAGGACAAAGTCCACTTGATTGGCACTGTTTGCTTCCTCCACCACTGCTCCAGTAGCAGCAGTGTGTACCATCTACAGGATGCATTGCAGAAATTCACCAAAGTTCCTTTGATAGCACTTTGCAAACCCACGACCACTAACATCTAGAAGGACCAGGGTTGCAGTTTTACCTGGGAGCACCACCTATAAGGGTGTCATCTGGGTCAAAATTCTGGGGTTCCTACTGGCATTGTGGATCTATCTGTAACAACCAACCACCAGTGACATGCTTCTCCCACTTTTGAATGCTTGAAAGAACTTTGATCATATTTTAGCCAAGATCATTTCAGAAATAATGCCTTATTGTGATGTAGTTAAAGTAGGCAGTCTGACAAGGTGGAAAATGAAACATACACACGATGTGTTTTTAAAGTGTGGAATGGGTGGGAAAGTTGTATTGTTCTATTATCTCTGCCTTATCCAGAAGTGGTCAACAGTGATATTGGGTGCAGGAGTAGGGGAAAGTGGCATGCTACAATATTGATGCTTCACATCTAAATGCTAACATTTAACTGAAAATAGTTGGTTGTGAAATACCATGTGTCGGCATGCAGCTCAGTGAAGTTACACAAAATCAATTAAATTTAAACTCTACAAATAATGTCTCTTTAAATTTGGTGTTGATGTGGAATACTATTTGTACTTGAGAATTATTGGTGTGGATAGAATTTGCAAATGTCAGGCACATTTCCTGAACCACACTTAAATATTTGTACTGGATTTTTTTTGCTCTTTATTGCTTTTGTGTATCTGAGTGATAGAATTGTTGTGAGAGGAAGCCAGGATACGAGGAGAGTCTAGCCCAAACTGCCAAAGCTATTTATGATGCTGTGTAGTAATTCTGATTTCCTTTCAAGGTAAAGTGTAATAGATGTCACTTCAGTGCAATCCTGCTTTATTTCTGAGTATTGATCATGTTGAATGGGAACCTCCTATTCCTGTTTTTATTCCTCATGCTTGTAGGTGTGTTGTTGACTGTTCATCTGTTGCTCTGATTTATGCTTTGGTTCAGCATAATATGGTTTGTGAAGTCCCCACAGAAACTGGACAAATCTACAGTTATTGTCAGAGTGGTCACAGTAAATCTACCTTTTGTTATAATGTTTTGTATTCATTTAATTTTGGATTCATGCCTGCTGAAATTCCAATTAAACTTTGTTTCTGTAACTAGACTTTTTTTTCTTATTGTAGGCATTGGTATGGAACAATGCATGAAAAAGGTGGAGGCAGCTCATTGTATGGCTTGTGAGCTGTTCATCCCTATGCAGACTGGCTTCATTGGGCAGCACTTAAGGTCAGCTGAGCACAACAGAAACCGCAAAGTAAGTGATGGAGCAGTTTCAGATCAGTACCAGCAAAGCATTTTCTTTGAAATTAGTTTCGTTTTTGTAATGATAGTCTTCATCCTGTTCTATTCTTATCGTTCAGTACCCCTTAATCACCCCCACTCCTTCCTCAATGCTTTGTCTCCTTGCTATCTGCATGACCCCCACACCATGCAAATGGGCCAAAAAAAAGTATTGAATGCATTGTGGGAACTATTTGTGATGTGTGATATGTGAATTTATTTTTTGCTGCGGGTTCACATTTGTTGTCCTTTCAAGATTTTGATAACTGTTAGAAGTACTTCTGAATAAATGTGGATTTGATTCAACATTCAAGATATTTAACTGAAAAGCTCCATAATCCATGAAATCCCAGGTTTGTACAGTATTAACTTGCTACTGTTTCTTCCTCTTAACCAGATGGCAATTGAGAGAGCCAAAAAGGGTAGCCTTGTTATTGCTAAGAGTATTCTGAATAACAGCAACATTGCAACAATGCTAGAGAAGTATGTCAAGGTAAGCATATAATAATCTTGTTTGATCACTGTTGCAAAGAAAGAAAATTGCCTTGTCTAGCATTCTTAAGTCAGGTTTAGCAAAGGGTCAGCACAGCGTAGAGTCAGAGAGACACAGTATGCAGCTTGAGGAACGTAGCAGGCCGGGCAGCATCAGAGGAGCAGAAAAGTTAATGGTTTGGGTCGGGACCCTTCTTCATCTGCCCTGAAACTCTTTGACCGCATACTTAAACCCAGCCCATTCTTGCTCTTCTGATGCTGCCTGGCCTGCTGTGTTTCTCAAGCTGCATACTGTGTGTCTCTGACGCCAGCATCTGCAGTTCTTGCTATCTCTTTAGCAAAGGGTTGATGTTGAGCCAAGGTCTCTGAACTGCCTGAACAATTCTAAGCAGCTTATCCGAACATCTAAGTTTGTTTTGAGACAACTCATTTCTGTTCTGCTCTAGACTGCTCCGTGTTGACTGCATTTTGTTGTGGGGCAATCTCACTTATGGACAAGACTATACAAATTAACTTAAAATTGTAAAGCTTAGTAGAAAGGATTCTTGGCCCAAATGTGAGACCAGTTCTGTAGTGAGATTTTGTTTTGTTGACCACAGTGTCCCTGGTAGTTAATCAAATTTGGATTTGTCTAGAATTTCACACCTTGTTCCTAAATTTTAGTAGGATTAGAGTTGGGCTCTTGAATAAAGGAACAAAATAACATTGCCCAAATCAGTGATTTACATTGCATCATTGTCAGTTCTACATAACAATACCTAATGCTGCTTGTTAAATTTGTTTTCTCCAAAGGGTGAGAAACCATTCACTGATGATCCAGATGACAAAGATGAAGAAGAAGGTGGCATGCAAGAAGGTGATGGTGAGGGTGATGGGCTCAATGACAGCATGAATGATGGAGAGAAGAGAGAGGGCGAAGAAGGAGAAGGTGGTGAAGAGGTTGAAGGTGGTGATGGTGAACAGGATGATGGTGAAGAACATGCTGAGGGTGATGAAGGAGAAGAAGCAATAGATAGACCTGAGGATGCAGTTGATGCTGCAGATGAAGAAATGGAGGCAGAGGGAGAGCCTGAAGCTGAAATGGAAGACTTGGGAGAGGGAGAGGATGATGTGACTGAAAGCAAGGACCCTGAAGAGCCTTTTGAAGCTGATGAAGATAAGATTCTAGAAGGAGAGGATGATGCATTGCCATTTGACACAGAGTTAGAGTAAATTTAGTGACTTGATAAACAGATGTGGATAAATGATTATGTTCCCCAGTCATTCACTAAAACTTATACTAGTTTTAACGTTTCTCATTGTTTGACCTGCTAGTAGATTTGTGTTATTGCTGTACTTGAGTTCCAGCTGATTGTTTCATGAGTCTAGTAAATGCTTCCTATGTACTGTGCTGAATGGCTTTTCATGATGTAGACCATAAGCTCTCCTGAACCTTTGTGTGAAACATTTTACAATAAACATTCTTTCTATAATCTGACTAATGTGACAATCTTTTGAAGCATGTCAGATGAGTATCTTCAGGACTAGGCATTATGGAAATGAGATGTATGGAAGGGGTTTTTGCTTTTGTCAGTTTAAAAACTTATGTTTTGGGCTTTGTAAACCAAGACACTGTGTTTAGTAACACAACATAATGAATGTGTTGTTAGGTAGTATGTGGAACAGCTACAGTACAGGTTGACCTTGGATTAGAACCGGCACATTATATATGAATAGCTAATAAGCAGCAAAAAGGAAAATGGTTAAGCAAGATGAAAGAGGAGGTTATGATTAGATGGAAGTCAGGAGGTGATTAAGAATTGATAATAGTGAGAGACAAAATAGCATTGATGAGAAACATTGAGGAACTATCTATAGCATTGAAACCTAAAGGATGTATGAATGGTTACAGCAGGATTGCTGTTAAATAGTAATGACAAACGTGATTAGCATTAATTCCTTATGCTTTACAAGTGTCCCCGGATGATTCCTCCTGTGATTCCATCTCTCCTAATCTCACCTGTTGCTCTGTATTCACTATACTTCTTGATCTTCCCCTCTCTGGTGAATGGTCTATGCTTAGCAAAAGGGATTTGGTTTTGTTCCTTTATGCCCCTATTTTAGTGTATTTTGGGCAGTGACCTCATGTTGAACTGTGTTTACATCACATTTGCCTTTGTACCACCACTGAACATCAATCTGTTGAGACTGCCAGACCATAAAGATGCAGGAGCAGAAACAGGCACTTCACACCATAAGAGTCTATTTTGCCATTCAGTTGAGATCATGGTTGATCTAATGATCCACAACTCCCATTTTCTGCCCGTTCCTTATAATCCTCATTCCCTTACTAGTTAAAATTCTGTCTATCTAAGCCTTGATATATCACAGAATCCCTACGGTATGGAAACAGGCCCTTTGGCCCAACAAATCCACGCCAACCCTTGGAGCATTCCACCCAGACCCATCCCCCTATAACCCACCTAATCTACACATCCCTGAACACTATGGGCAACTTAGCATAGCCAATCCCCTTACCCTGCACATCTTTGGACTGTGGGAGGAAACCCACGCAGACTCCCCACAGACAGTCGCCCAAGGGTGGAATTTAACCTGTGACCCTGGTGCTGTGCAGCAGCAGTGCTAACCACTGAGCCACCGTAAAAGCAGGACCAGTCCAAACTGGCTCATCAGTTTACTCTTGATCATCAGTAAAGTGATGAAAAGTGTCATCAAGCAGCAATCAATAGCTGCTTATCAATAGCACTATGAACATCCTGGGGATTACTATTGATCATAAACTGGATTGGACTAGCCAGATGAATACTGTTGCTACAAGAGCAGATTAGAGATTGGGAATCCTGCAGTGAATAACTCACCTCCTGACTCCCCAAAGCCTGTATACAATCTACAAAGCACAAGTCAGGATTTTGATGGAATACTCCCCAGTTGTCTGGATGAGCGCAGCGCCAACAACACTCAAGAAGCTTGACAGCATCTAGAATAAATCAGATTGCTTGATTAGCTCTATATCCATAAATATTCACACCCTCAATCACCAATCCTCAGTAGCAGCAGTGTGTACCATTTCCAAGATGCACTGCAGAAATTCTCTTCATGACCTTCCAAACTCTCAACCGCTACAGGTTCATGGGCAGTTGTTACATAGGAACACCATCGTGTGCAAGATCCCCTCCAAGTCATTCAGCATCCTGACTTGGAAATACATTGCTATTCCTTCAGTGTCACTGGGTCAAAATCCTGGAACTCCTTCCCTAACAGCATTGCAGGTCTATATACAGCAAATATAAAGCAGCTCACTACCATTACCACCTACTCAAGGGCAAGTAGGGATGGGTAATAAATTCTGTCCCAGCCACGTGGCCCATGTCCTATGAATGAATTTAAAAAAAACACTCCAACTGGAGAAGAAACATTTGTGATGGTGCAAAATCACTGTGAGCATCTCTGAGAGGCCCAGGCTGTGGTCAAGCATAAAAAATGGAGGAATCGTGCAAAAACCTGACCATCTCACCCACGTCTCTTCAAGCGACACATGCAGCAACAAATGAGGGCATAGATAAGGTGAATAGCTAGGGTCTTTTCCCCAGGGTTGGGGAGTTCAAAATTAGAGGGCATGATTTTAAGGTGAGAGGAGGAAGATTTATGAGACCTGAGGGGCAACTTTTTCACACAGAGTGATTTTTATATGGAATGAACTGGCAGAGGAAGTGGTAGATACAGGTACTTTTTCAACATTTATAAGATTTAGACAGGTAAATGAATAGGAAAGGTGCAGAAGGATATGGACCAAATGCAGGTAAATGGGATTAGTTTAGTTTGGGAAATTTGGTGGATATGTTTCTATGCTGTATGACTCTGTGCAGGTCTCGCATTAGAATCAACAAATCCACTGTGGAAGAAAGTCATTCTTGGTCTCAAGGGATTGCCCAAGAAGACTCCAAAGTAACTGAAATAGCATCGGCAACATTATCTTTTCTCATTCCTACCCCCAATCCAGGTTTGATTTTTTTTATAAAGCTGCATCACCACCTCCTTTTTCCTTGCATAACCATATTTTGTAAACCTAGTTTTATAACACAATCCAGGCCACATGACACCACTTTCACTTGATAATCCTAGGTCAAAGGATCACAAAAGAAAAGTTCAGATGGATATAAGAAAATCTCCTGGACTTAGAAGTTTGAGAAGTCCTGGTGTCACGGCCAACATTCCTCTTATTTTTTAGCCTGTGGGATCTTGCTAGTCTGTTTGCTTTTACAGCTGTAGTCGTAATTAATTTGCTGTGAAGAAACAGAACTGCTCACAGTACTCTTGGTGTGGTCTCATCTCGGCCCTGTACAATTGCAGAAAGACATCCCTGCTCCTGTACTAAAGTAATCTTGCTATGAAGGCCACATACCATTGCCTTCTTTATCACCTGCTGCACTGCACACTTAGACTTTCAGTATACAAGGACACACAGGTCTCATTACACCTTCCCTTTCCCAATCTCCATTCTGTGAATAATTTGCCTCCCTGTTTTTGCTCCCAAAATGGATAACCTCACATTTATCCACATTATACTTCAGCTACCATTCATTTACTCACTCAACTTGTCTAAATCACACTGAAATATTTCCTCATTCTTCCACTTAGCTTTGAGTTGTCTGCAAATTTGAATTTTATATGCTAATCTTTTATGTGGGACCTTACTGAAAGCATTCTAAAACATCTAAGACCACATTCACTAGCTCCTTCTCATCAACTCTATTAGTTACATCCTCAAAAAATTCCAGTAGATTTGTCAAGCATGATTTTCCTTTTGTAAATCCATGCTAACTCTGGCTGATACTGTCATTGTTTTCCAAACTTCCTACAATTTTTTTTATATAATAGACTCCAGCATTATCCCCATTACTGATGTCAGGCTAACTAGTCTATAATTCCCCGTTTTTCTTTCAACCTCCTATTGCCACCCAATCCACAGAAACCATTTCAGAGTCTATAGAATATTGAAAGATGACCACCAACATATCCATTATTTCTAGGGATACAGGCTACATCTTCAAGTACTCTGAATGTAGATCATCAGGTTCTGGGGAAGGCTATCATATATTTTGAGATAGTAAGAACTGCTGATGCTGGAGTCAGAGATAACACAGCGTGGAGCTGGAGGAGCATAGCGGGCCAGGCAGCATCAGAGGATCAGGAAAGTTGGCGTTTTGGGTCGGGACCCTTCTTCAGAAATGAGGGAGGGGGAAGTGAGCTCTGAAATAAATAGGGTAGGGGTGGGGCTGGTGAAGGTAGGTGGGATGGTGATAGGTGAGTGCAGGTAGGCAGTGGTGGGGATTGGTCAATGAGGTGGGAGGAGCGGATAGGTGGGAGAGAAGATGGACAGGTTGTGTCAGGTCAAGGAGGCAGGGATGAAAGTGAGGGTTGGTCATGGGATGAGGCAGGGGGTGGGGAGATTTTGAAACTGGTAAAGTCCACATTGAGACCATCGGGCTGTAGGCTCCCAAGGCGGAATATGAGGTGCTACTCCTCCAGTTTCTGAGTGGTGTCATTGTGACCCTGGAGGAGGCCCAGGATGGACATGTTGCACAGGGAGCGGGAGAGGGAGATGCAGCAGATGCTGTACATTGGTGAGACCAAGCGGACGCTTGGAGACCTGCGCTCTGTTTGTGGCAAACGACAACACCTTCCCGTCGCAAACCATTTCATCTCCCCCTTCCACCATCCCACCTACCTTCCCGAGCCTCACCCCTCCTCTTATTTCAGAGCTCCCTTCCCCCTCCCACATTTCTGAAGAAGGGTACCAACCTGAAAAGCCAACTTTCCTGCCCCTCTGATGCTGCCTGGCCTGCTGTGTTCATCCAGCTCTACATCTATTTATAAATACTGTCCTGATTTGTCTTTCCAAAAGCACCTCACATATATGTAAATTAAACTCCATCTGCCACTCCTCGGCCCAGTGGTCCATCTGAACAAGATCTCATTGTACTCTTCTTCGCAGTCCACTACTCTCTGGTGTCATCTGCATAGTGTCCATGAACCTTTCAAGAAATCTCCCGAAGGAGTCATACCAGGCTTGAAACGTTAGTTCCCCATAGATGTTGCCAGAGTTGCTGAGTTAAAACCACTTGGTTTTTAATTTCAGATTTCTAGCACCCGAATGATTTTGCTTTTATTTAAAAAAAAATCAGTCCCCTTCCTTGTTTACAATACACGCTCCCAAGTTATTCACGAGTGGAACTTTTTCTGCACAGATCAGGAGCTGGATGAACCCACTACTTCCGTTAGCTGTTCCAGACTGGCTCAAGGGGTACAAACTCCCATGCCCATTCCCCTCCTACAAAATGCACAAAGAAAAATGAGTTAAATTAATCTCATGTTTTTCTCACGGAACAAGACAATTTTAAAAAAGGCATCAAGAGGGTTCTGAAGAAGGGTCAGTGGAACCGAAACATTAACTCTGTTTCCTCTCCACAGACGTCGCCAGGACCTGCTGAGTTTCTCCAGCATTGTCTGTTATATTACTAGGTCTGTTTCACAAACAGTTTTCTTATTTTCTCTCTCTTCGCAGGCACTGTCAGGACCCGAGTTTCTTCAGCACTTTCTGTTTTTGCTTGGTATTTATATTCCTAGGTCTGTTTTACAAATAGAGTTTTACTCTGTCATCTCTCTTATCCACAGATGTGTTGCTGCGAGCATCTGCTCCGTTTCTCCAACATTGTTCTTGTTTGGATCAAAAGGGGTTGATGCCACTCGTTTCAAAAGCGCCAACTGGATATCGTAACGGGCTCGAGCTCCGGCCGTCACCAGACGCTCCACATGGTGACTGAGATAACAAGGTGTAGAGCTGGATGAACACAGCAGGCCAAGCAGCATCAGAGGAGCAGGAAAGCTGACGTTTTGGGCCTAGACCCTTCTTCAGAAATGGAGGAGGGGTAGGGGATTCTGAAGTAAATAGGGAGAGAGGGGGAGGCGGATAGAAGATGGATAAAGGAGAAGATAGGAGAGGAGATGCGGGGATGGAGCCAGTAAAGGTAAGTGTAGGTGGGGAGTTAGGGAGGAGATAGGTCAGTCCAGGGAGGACGGACAGGTCAAGGGAGCGGGATGAGGCTAGTAGGTAGGAGATGGGGGTGGGGCTTGAGGTGGGAGGAGGGGATAGTTGGGAGGAAGGACAGGTTAGGGAGGTGGGGACAAGCTGGGCTGGTTTTGGGATGCGGTTGGGGGAGGGGAGATTTTGAAGCTTGTGAAGTCCACATTGATACCATTGGGCTGCAGGGTTCCCAAGCAAAATATGAGGTGCTGTTCCTGCAATCTTTGGGTGGCATCGTTGTGGCACGGCAGGAGGCCCAGGATGGACATGTCATCTAAGGAGTGGGAAGGGGGAGTTGAAATGGTTCGCGACTGGGAGGTGCAGTTGTTTGTCGCGAACTGAGCATAGGTGTTCCACAAAGCGGTCCCCAAGCTTCCGCTTGGTTTCCCCGACGTAGGGGTGGCCACATCTGGAACAGCGGATACAGTATACCACATTAGCAGATGTGCAGGTGAACATCTGCTTGATGTGGAACGTCTTCTTGGGGCCTGGGATAGGGGTGAGGGGGAAGGTGTAGGAGCAGGTATAACACTTCCTGCGGTTGCAGGGAAAAGTGCCGGGTGTGGTGGGGCTGGAGGGGAGTGTGGAGCGGACAAGGGAGTCACGGAGAGAGTGGTCCCTCCAGAAAACAGATAAGGGTGGGGAGGGAAAAATGTCTTTGGTGGTGGGGTTGGATTGCCGATGGCGGAAGTGTCAGAGGATGATGCTTTGGATCCGGAGGTTGGTGGGGTGGTACGTGAGGACGAGTGGGATTCTGTTTTGGTTGTTATTGCGGGGAGGGGGTGTGAGGGATGAGTTGCAGGAAATGCGGGAGACATGGTCGAGGGTGTTCTGGACCACTGAGGGGGTGATGTTGCGGTCCTTGAGAAACGAGGACATCTGAGATGTTCGGGAGTGGAATACCTCATCCTGGGAGCAGATGCGGCGGAGGCCACGGAATTGGGATTAGGGGATGGCATTTTTGCAGGAAGGTGGGTGGGAGGAGGTGTATTCTAGGTAGCTGTGGGAGTCGGTATGCTTGAAATTGATATCAGTTTCCAGGTGGTTGCCAGAGATGGAAACAGAGAGGTCCAGGAAGGAGAGAGAGGTATCAGAGATGGTCCAGGTGTACTTAAGGTTGGGGTGGAAGGTGTTGGTGAATTGGATGAACTGTTCAAGCTCCTCGTGGGAGCACGAGGCGGCGCTGATACCGTCATCGATGTAACGGAGGAAGAGGTGGGGTTTAGGGCCAGTGTAGCTACGGAAGAGGGATTGTTCCACGTATCCTACAAAGAGGCAGGCATAGCTTGGGCCCATGCGGGTACCCATGGCCACCCCCTTTGTCTGTAGGAAGTGGGAGGAATTGAAAGAGAAGTTGTTAAGGGTGAGGACGAGTTCGGCTAAGCAGATGAGGGTGTCAGTGGAGGGGGACTGGTCGGGCCTGCGGGACAGGATGAAGCGGAGGGCCTTTAGGCCATCTGCATGGAGAATGCAAGTGCATAGGGACTGGACGTCCATGGTAAAGATGAGGTGTTGGGGACCGGGGAATCGGAAGTTTTGGAGGAGGTGGAGGGCGTGGGTGGGGAGTTGCTGGACCAAGAGGGAGAAAATGGAGTTGAGATAAGTAGAGATGAGTTCGGTGGGCAGGAGCAGGCAGAGACAATGGGTCGACCAGGGCAGTCAGGTTTGTGGATTTTGGGAAGGAGATAGAAGCGGGTGGTGCGGGTTTGGGGCATGATGAGGCTGGAGGCTGTGTTGGGCGGTCACCTGAAGTGGTGAGGTTGTGGATGGTTTGGGAGATGATGTTTTGGTGGTCGGGGGTGGGGTCATGATCAAGAGGGCCGTAGGAGGAGGTGTCAGAGAGCCGGCGTCGGGCCTCGGCGATGTAGAGGTCAGTGACTGTCGTCAGGGTGGGATTGCCTCTGATTGACGTCGGCATGACTAATCGAGAGCCGCTGTGCCAACGTGACCCCGCCCATATAGCAAGACCCTGGCCAATCGGCGATGGACGGGCGGTACATCCGGGCAACCAGCCGCTGAGTCGGGAGACTGCTTTTGAATGAAGCCGGAGCAAAATGGACGGTCGTTATTCAGGTTAGTCAAGCAAGTCTGGGGTGATAAGCGCTTCATGAAGGTGTGATCGCCTTCATTTATTTTAAGAGAAATGAAAATAAAGAAAGTCAGTGTCCATTGTACCGCCGTATAGGTGACACAGCAATTGGCGATTTTCTATAAATTGTCCCCCATTTTTTGCCCTTCCTCCTAAGAAAAATTAAAAAGCCGCCGCCGCCGCCGAAGGTGCTTTTCTCAACGAAAGAAAAACAACGCCACGGGCTGCCGCCGGTAGCCCCGCCTCTCCGGTATCTGATTGGTAGACGGTCCTTTGTTTGGGCGGGTCTGTTCTGTGATTGGGTCAGGACCGGTGTCACTCATTTTTCGGGGTGTCAGGGTGAGTTGCACGATCGCTGCGGGACGTGCGCCTTGCAACCACCCTCCTTTTCCCAGCTGTTTATTTTCCCGTATAAAAACAGGAGTTGCATATTGATGCGCCACGTTTTCCAAACGGCCAATTGGTCAGTTTCTGAAGTACAGCTGGAAGTCTTCCCCCACCGTAAAATCCAACGTGAAATTCGATGACGGTCTAAATGTTGCGAGCTAGTCTGGGATGTTGTTTTGACCATTTCCACTGTTAACGACGGTTTTCGTTTCTCGTTCCCCAGCCCCACAAAATGGCGCCTCTCGTTGACAACAGTCCGTTCCGTATCCCATCGTCAACTCCTGCCCCACGTGTACCGTTAACACTCACATAACCCCCGCCCTCTCCACCACGCGCTCACGCTGGCCAATCGCTCTCTGACCTCGCGCGCTCACGCGGCCGATCGCCGTCTCACGTGCACCCTCGCGGCTACTCTGTGCAGCCCTTTATCCTCCCCGCGGTCCCGTTGCGCGTTCCCTCCCCTAGTGTGAGTCAATATTGACCAGTTTCCCCGCCCGCTATTCCGAACCATTCTGCTGCTCATTGTGCGACGAAGCTGTGGGTGTTTTTGAGGGGTGGGGTGTTATATTGAGGTTTCAGCTCAAGTTTTTCAGGGTATATCTTTAAATGTGAATTCATTTTGGGAATGAAATGTTTACCCCCGCACCAGTCGCCCAATCAAGATGCAGCAAAACAAAGCCTGAATCTGGAAAAACGCGGGAAATCAACACGCGAAGTGAAGGGATACATTTCCCCTTTATCATCTCTGATGTGAGTTCCCAACTAAGCCCCTGTTGTAAGTGGGAGTCGGCTATTTATTTGTTCAGAGATAGTGGGAACTGCCGATCCTGGAGAATCTGAGGTAACAAGGTGTAGAGCTGGATGAACACAGCAGGCTCAGCAGCATCAGAGGAGCAGGAAAAGGAAGAGCACAGCAGCAAGAAGAAGGGTCCAGACCCGAAACGTCAGCCTTCCTGCTCCTTTGATACTGCTTGGCCTGCTGTGTTCATCCAGCTCTACACCTTGTTATCTCGGATATTTATCTGCTGGCTTTGTATCCGTTCGCAAGCTTCTAACTTGTCATACAACTTGTAGTCAAGAGCCTTGTCACACTCAAAATTGAAACGTGATGCCCTCTTTTCACTAGTTGTTTTGTTCTCCCCCCATTAATGTACATAATCAGATGAGAAGAACTTGATAAGCAAGACAGGCCGATGCTTTATCATGCGTCGATACGAAGTTAGGAAGCGTTCCTAAGATGCCTGTTGACATTGCCTTGACAATGAATTAAAGCATCCTATTATCGTCTATTAAGAAATATAATTTATTTCCTTTCCATTGTGATTTATTTGCCTCTATTTAACCATTTAAATATATCTATTTTAATCATTAAATATGCAGGTTCTCAATTTGCTTTAATTGTTTATTTAAAGATGGGCTCAATTTAAAAAAAACAACGGTGGATGCTGGAAATCGGAAACAAAAACAGAAATTACTGGGAAAAACTCAGCAGGTCTGGCAGCATTTCTGCAGAGAAAGCAGAGTTAACATTTCAGGTCCACTGACCCTCCTTCAGAACAACTTTTTAAAATGTGTAGGATTAGATATTCTGAGTTGTTTGGTGTCTTTTATTCAGTGACAGACAATTTGTTAGCAAGTGAACTGTTAAAACCAATCTAATGAAACAACAACTAACCTTGTGGATTCTTGTGTTGTCAATCCCTTCATTTCCAGGAGCAGTTTGAAAATGGACATAAAGAGGATTATGCCAAAGAAAATACATTCTGATTTGCCTAATGTTCTTTGAAATTAAATTGCTAACCTCCATTCACAAAAATAAGTTATGACTTTCAAAATAAATGCCAATGTTCTCCATTTAAAATACTTGCATTTTCTTTCTGCATGAACTTTTTATTTACCCTTAATCACATTCTCTTAGCACTCAGGGTTTCTGCTCCCTTCCAACTATCTATAAGCATTTATGCAACTGACATTGTTAGTACATCATCATGTATAATTTTGATTTTAATCTACATTTCTCCAAAGTCTTTATCCCTGTTATATTTATTTTATAAACACCTCCCCCTCCAAAGTGTCTGAGTTCATAGGGTTATCCTCTGTTTTGCCCAGACTTCCTGATCTGCTTCTAATCTCATTCTGAGATCAAGGATATTCTGCACTCTTTTTCTTCCCCCATCAGTGTGAGTGTTCCTCTCCGGAGTGGTTGTTGAACTTTATTCCTTGTCTTCCAAGTTTCTGTTGAATCTCGTTCAATTGATCAATGCATTATGATTTCTCGTCCAGAATCTATTTCAGCCATATATGATCTTGGTTGTGTTTTCTTTTTTGCTATGATCTTTCCTTCTCTCTGCTGATCTCTTACCTATAACGTCTACAACTCTGATAACTCTTCTCTCCGTGTTTTTTATTGAAGTTTTGAACTTGATTTTCACTTTGCTCTTCTTCCTGCTGTTTCACTCTTATTGTCATTTTCAGTGATGACATGTTCCAACATCTGAGACAGATGGAAGTCGTGTTTTCAACCTTCTGTCTATCAGTGACTCTGAATATGATGACTGTGATGCTTATGTTATTTGCACTCCTTGCTCAGCTTTTCCCTTTGCTTGAGATTAGTGAGGTGAATTGATAACATGAATAAAATATCCATGTAAATCATAATCTGTTAAAAAAATTGTCATTTCCAAACTTTGGACACCTATTTGATAATACACTGTCTGGACTGCCATACATTGAGTAGATTCTCTTGAGTGATTTTACTGCTGCCAATGCTGTGACACTATGCAGATGATTCAGTTGAATGCACCTGGTGTAATAGTCTAGAATAATCATGAAGATCTTCCCTTTGAAATCAAATAAATCCATTCCCAGATGCTTCCCTGACCTTTAATGGAAAAGATTAAGATAATAGTGGCCCTTTTCTTTTCTCTTGGGTGTTTACACCACACAGAATACAGATGCCAAACATTTCCTTTATGCAGTGAATTATATCTGACCAGATTGATTGATTATCATATCCTTGCAGAACACTCTACAATTCTCAAACGTGCTTGATGAATTTTATTGAAGAATGTCAAGTCAAAGACCTCTTGGTATTGGTAATCTTTCATTGAAAATTAGCAAATCATCAATAACAATGAGGTGTTTGCAAGGTTCAAATTATTGTCATGTTTTAGATTGTTGATTCGTAATCTGGCGTCCTTCCAAACAATATTTTTGGATCTAGTTATGTTCTTCATCTCGTATCATTTGCAGCTTTCTTTTAGTAGCTGGTAAATGTTTAGTAACTTCTGATGAGTAGGCATCAACTTCATCAATGAATTCCAGATCTTCTGTTAAATTTAATGGTGTCCTTGATGGTGTGGCTGCTGTCGAATGATATCTGCCCTAAACACGTTCTGCAGTTGAAATATACATCATGAGCCTTAATCTAAACTGCTGAAATATGGGCAGCAACTTGGTCATACGTTTTGTGTTCAAAAGAGTGAGCAATGGTTTATGGTTAAATTTCAAAATTAAAACTAAGACCATCACGTAGTCTGATTGTTTTTCTTTCACACACTACAGTTGTTGCTAAAACTACTTTCTCATTAATGGCATACACTATTTAGTCTCTGTTAGTGATCTACTGCCATTGTAGACTTGTCAGCATTTTCCATCTGTCAGCATGAGGAAGGGCATTGTCCCAATCTTGTTAAAAATTTATCAGCTGCTACTACGATTGTTAAAGTAAATTATTGTGTCTTAAGATTTCTAAGGAGAACAGGAGTGACTTGATTTTATCAAATACCTTTTTGTGGCCAATGTTCCAGCATCATTGGCCCTGGCTTAAAACCTAATCACAAGTCTCATTGATCTCTGCAAGTGAAGTAGAAACTTGCTCACTGGATTCACCATCCCAAGGATCTTTTTAAGCACTGTGTTCCTAGGTGGTGGGAATTCTCTGATGGCTTATAGTTTTTTGGATCTACTGTGATTTCAGTAGCTTGGATAATGTTAGGTTTTGAAAACTTGCATGTCTCATTCAGTTTTAGACCTGCATTCTGTTGGACTTCGCCACTTGTAACTCTTTGGCTATGTTCCTCTTTTGTGGATCCATGTATTAGTATGACATCCATGTGGCATATTACACCGTTGATGCTTTCCAGCGAGTTGGATATCATTCTCTGAAAAATTTCTGGAGCGAATGCATTTAGCAAAGGTAATCTGTTAAAACAATTATGCCGAAAGGATGTAATAAATGTACTTAACTTTCTGGAGTTTACATCTGGAAGTAATTGCCAAAATCCATAGTTAGCATCTAGTTTGGTGAATAGGACTTTGGACTGTTTTGATAGACCTTTATCCATTGATGCCATTTGGTGAATTTCATAAAACATTGCTTTGTTTAAGTGAGTTATATCCACACCGATTCTTATCAGATCATTTGGCTTTGGTATTGTACCATTCACAAACACCACCTTGCTGGCATAGTAACCAATGAAATCATTCATGTATCAAATTCTCCATTTCTTCTTTAATTTTGTCCAAGGGTAAGTGAGGCACGTTTTTTTCAGTTTGAATAAGTAGACTGATTTAGCACTATGCTGTAGGAGGTGTGATACTTTCTTCAGTTTTTACAAATGTGAGAATTTTGGAAATCACATCAAAATTGATTTACTCGCTTTCTTTGTACCTGAAATCAGCTCTCCTTTAGAATGTACCATTGGAGTATTTAACTTCACTTGAGATGATGCCTACAGTTCAGCGCTTGCTTAGCACAGCAGTAAAATATCAGCAGTTTAGATTATGTGCTAAAGTGTTTGGAGTGGTACTTGGAACCCACAAAGCTTTTGACTCAGTTGAGAGTACTATTATTGCTCAGTACTGCTTCAGATTATAATGGAATTAGGTTCAATATTCTGTTTCACAATCTACTTTGTACTGTTGGTCTTTATTTTCCAAACCATAACATGACATTATAGTAACAAATAGTCTTATTTTGCAGGCTCATATGGAAATTGGAACACAGAATCTTCTGGTGAAGGTAAAAATGTCAGAGGTGCTTAATGGTGGGAATGGGATGGATGATTTGCCTGTTCTTACTCTCCAAACTATGGAACTTGGTTTGACTCAACAAGGTGTGATTGTAAACCCGATAGCTACATCAGATGGCTTAGTAGGCTTTGGAATAGAAAGCCTGTCACTAATTGTTATCCTCCGATGTTGTCCTTGTTCTGTATCCTTTTTTAGTTCAGTGTGAAATCTGTCAGTTATTCTTTATATGACATTAATGTATAAAAAGTGGTATTGTGCGTGTTTCTTAGCCTGCAGCTGGAAGGGAACTTGCCAAAAGGTGAAGGGGTCAGAACTGCAGACTGTAGTTGCTGGTTTAGGAGAGGCAGGTATAGGTAGAGATGAAAAGATCTAGTCTGTTTGCTGGACTCAGAACATTGTGTTGTTGCAGTTATGGTTTTCCTGCCTTGCATCCACAATGAGGCATTATTGCAGGATTACAATCAAAATGAAGAAATGGTTTATCCAAACTATTTGAGGTTCATCCTTTGTAGAAAAGCTAAGCTGTTGATTTTGTCTGGAAATATGGGAGAAAACACTGGCTCCTAGATCTCACACAATGTAGGAGGTTTGCAGAGGGTTATCTCTGAGCCAGAAACTCTGTCTTTAAATTCCACACCACAAAAGTTGTTGGCATGGAGACCGTGTTTGAAGATATGCTTTAAAAATATGGCTGTTGTCTTTTCGTTCATTATATGTAGATAAAATATTATTGTAGGGCAGAATAGTACATAATTTAAGTTTCACTATTATTTACCTGCTCGAGGTAACTCAATTTCTCCAACTTGAACTGTTTGTCTATGGCGGGTGCAGGAACCATTTCCAATATTAAGAGTCTCAAAACACTTAGAACTTGCAGACATATTGGTTCAAGAAAAACACTGACAATGTTATTGCAATTTATCTGCCCTCTTCAGGTTATGATGACTACAGTTATGGACATGGTTCTGGATCCAGTTATGGCTACGGTGGTAAATCCTGGAACTCACACAAAGGCAACCAGACTTCTGAATCCATTGTAGCTAAAATTAACCAACGGTTAGATCTCCTTTCTCGTAACGAAGGTGATGATCAGGAAAGGTATCTATCAGAGCTTCAAAAGCAGCTTGACTGCTGTGTGCCATTTGGAAGACTAAGACTGATTGTTTCGAAAAATTTAGATTAGACCCTGAACTAGCATGAGATATTATGTTTTATCTTTTGGCATTCTGCTGTGGATATAATATTACATTCACTCTCCACTTGTCCTAGCAGTATTTAACCAACTTGCTCAGACATGTTCTGATACAGTTCTTGAGCAGGTTGGACTTAAACATGGATCTTCTAGCTCAGAGGTATGAGCTCTCCCACTGTGTCACAAGAGCACTACTCATGTACTACTGACTGTTTACTTAATTCAATACTTGTGAAGTTGATAGAGGCAGAATGGCCTTCTTTCTGTCTTGGCATAACTTGATCAAGATGTTTACTCTGATTGGAAGGTGTGTAATTTGTTGTTTCTAATTGGTTCTGGAGGTGTACTTTCTTGATTGCGGTAGGTTGAGGAGGGTTTTTTGTTGTCTAAATGCAGAGAACACTATTGTCATTGTTCAAAAACTTTAAATGAGCTTTGTCCTGATTTAATAGACATGATTTTACATTTATTGCAGTCATATTGCTGTTCCACTTTTGTGAAAACAACAATAACAAAAAGTAACTCATTGGCCCAGTGGATTTCTTGACACATACATTCTGTGGCATTGTTAACCCACACTGACCAGGAGAGTGTTTCTGATCTAAATCGCTTCTCTCAGTTGGGGAAGCAAGTTAGCAGCCTCTCCCTGTGGTTCACCATTGACTGTCAGTATGTTGAAAGGTGTAATGTAGCTTGATATGTATTTATGATAATCATAAGTAATATTCAAGCCACACAAATGCCAGGCAATGACCATCTTTTCCTTTTCTAATTTGTGAGATGAGAGCATCGCTAGTTAGGCCCATTTATTTCACATCCCTAATTGCCCAGAGGACAGTGAAGAGTCAGCCGAACTGTTGAGGGTCTGGAGTCACATGCAGGCCAGACTAGGTAAGGATGGGAATTTCCTTCCCTAAAGAAGGTTAGTGAACCAGATGGGTTTTTCCAACAATTGACAGTGGATTCATCGTCATCATTAGACTCTTAATGCCAGATTTTTATTGAATTCAAATTTATCTGCCACAGCAGGATTTGAACTCTAGTCCCTGGAATGTTACCAGGGCCTCTGGATTAATAGTCTAATCATAATGCCGGCAGGCTATCGCCTCCAATAAGAGCGAATCTGACCACTGTCCCTTGACATTCAATGGTGTTACCATCACTGAATTCCCCCACTATCCATATCGTTGAAGTTACTATTGACCAGAAACTCAACTGGATTTGCCACATTAACATAGTGGCTCCAAAAGCAAGCCAGAGGCTAGGAATACTGTGGTAAGTAACTCACATCCTGACTCCCCAAAACCTGTCCGCCCTCTCTGAAGCCAAAGTCAGGAGTCCGATGGAATACTCCCACTAGGCTGGATGGGTGCATCCCCTACAGCATTCAATAAACTTGACACCATCCAGGATAATGTAGCCCAGTGGATTGGCACCAGATCCAGAAGCATCCACTCCCTCCGTCACCAATGTTGAGTAGCAGCAATGTGTCCTAGCTTCAGGGTGCACTACAGAAATTCACCCAAGATCCTAAGACAGCACCTTCCAAATGAATGACCACTTCCATCTAGAAGGACAAGGGCAGCAGATACATTGGGACACCACCACTTGCAAGTTCCCCTCCAAGGCACTCACCATCCAGACTTGGAAATATATTGTCATTCCTTCACTGTCACTGGGTCAAAATCCTGGAATTCCCTCCCTTGAAGGCATTGTGGATCAACCTACAACATGCGAACTGCAGCATTTTGAGACTTCAGCTTACCACCACCTTCCAAAGGATAACTAGGGACTGGCAATAAATGCTGGCCAGCCAGTGATGCTCACATTCCATGAGTGAATGAAAAAGAAACACAATTACTGAAGTAATGATAAAGATGCATAAAGAGGTGTGTCGAGGATCCATGATATTTTCACTGAAGAGCTCACTGAAGCTTATGAGCAAATTGGCACGTTGATCACCAAAGATGGAAAAAAAAATGAAGGTTACCAGTCCAACAGATCTTTGCTTTCAGAAGTGATGAAGATCGAAGAAGAGGCGATACAGCAATAAGCAGGTTGTGCTGGAATGGCTTTGTATTTATGAATGTTAAATTGAAGATCTTGGATATTCAGAAAGCATATTTCATCTCAGGCCTTTTATATCATGAAAATTAGTTTGTTAGAGGTTGCTAGTTAACATTTTGGGAATGGCAGACTTGTCAATTGATATTCTGTGATCTCAACTGATGTACATGTTTTAGACAGATAACTGAAACTATTTCTCTACAGGGAATCACTGTTTTAGTTCCTGATTAAATTGCATGCAATTTGCATGATTTTGCTGATGACCAAATATTTTGTTAGGCTTAATTAGGTTCTTTTTCCAGTGTATCTAGTATAAACCCGTTTTTGAAGTTTGTTGTAGCATTTATTTGGGTTGAAAAATGATTGCTTTCCTACAGTCATACGTTTTGTTTATTTGCTGATTCAAATGGAAAACATAATCCACTTTTTTTAATGCGTGTCTTTTTTAGTGCTGTCTTCAATTGCACACTGCCAGGTTTACTGAATTAGTGGGATCAGTTTTGTCAACTTGTTCAGGATTTGAAATATTTGGATTATTTTGGTATATTGTTTATATGGGTTGGTCCACATGTTGGAATCTTAACTAAGAGAGATATGATTGAATAGTTGAATTTAATTACCATCTGAATGTCAGCAATCATTCCAGAAATATTTGCCTCATCTATAACTACAGTTGGGGTGCCTGCTGACTGGAGGGTGGCTAATATCATGCCTTTCTTTAAGAAGGGCTGTAAGGAGAAACTGGGGAACCAAAGACCTGTGAGTCTGACTTCAGTTGTGGGTCAGTTTTTGGAGATGATTCTAAAAGAGAGGATTTATAGACATTTAGAGAGGCAAATATTGACTAGGGATAGTCAACGCGGTTTTTGAAGTAAGTGCACAGAGGCTGGTATCTCATCACCAAGTCACCCTTTATTTACTTGTTCACAGAACACTGGCCTGAACTGAGGAGATTCTAAATCTCCTGTTATGATTGGTCAGGCAGTGCCTCGTGATTGGCCAGGTTAACAACCCTATTCCAGGACCTCATAGTTAACAAGATTCACCTGGTTCCAATCATACATCCTTCCACACTCCCTCCAAGTCCAGGGATGTAGGCCTGGTCTTTCTCTTGTAGCTTTTCTTGGAATGTTTTTGCTCTGGTTCCTCTGATTTGGACTCTGACAAGGGCAGTGCGTACCAGACCATAGTCCTGTCTCTTGCGTCCGGAGCATCTCAGGAGAGTTTCCTCCTCCTCTTCCGGTGGTAATGGTATCAAGGCTGCATCCATCTTGAACTCTGAAGTTTCCTCAATAATAGATGGAGGGGGAGAACCTATGGTGTCTGACAGGCTTTCTGGCTGCTCGGAGGGACCATGTATGTTTTGCTCTTGACCCATTTGCGAGGCAACAGCTTTCAGGTGATCCATGTTTGTCAGGACTACCTTACCTTCCCAAACTTCATAAGTTGTGGGACCTGACCTCACGTCAACCTTGCCTTGTACCCATACAGGGCCATTTCCATGGTTCCGGCACCAAATTTCATCCCCCCAAATTAAATTGTCTCTTTCACTTAGGGGCATATGGCCAGCATTGGCATTCCTACTGCCATTTCACTCTTTCCCCCACCAGGTCTGGGAATAATCAGGTTTAACCTGGTGTGGAGTCTTCTCCCCATCACCAACTCTGGAGCAATCCCTGTTATTGCATGAAGGGTGGTCCTATAACTGAACAGGAACCAGGTATCAAATGATGCTTTAGGCTGCTTTTTCAAGCCTGCCTTCAAGGTTTGGTCCATTCTTTCTGCCAGACCAATGGATGATGGATGGTCTGGAGCTGTCCTTTGTGCTGAATGCCATTCGACCTCAAGAAATACTCAAACTCACTGTTGGTAAATGACCTTCCATTGTCAGTGAACAATACTTCTGGGAATCAGTGTATCGTGAATGATGCTCGCTGCTTCTCAACTGTCATCCCAGAGTTTGCCAAACGGACTTAATGCACATCCAACCATTTTGAATGGACATCCCCAATGACCAGGAACATTGAGCTCATGAAACGTGCAACCGGGTACAGGGTTTACCCACTCATTCCCATGAATGTGGGACTGCCGCTGGTGGCAATTTTTTTGTCCTTATTGGCACTCTGGGCACTGCCCCACCAATGCAGGTATGTCAGCATCCAACCCTGGCCACCAAACATAGCCTGTTGCTAGGATCTTCATTTTGGAAACCCTTGGATGACCCTGGCAGGATTCGGCCAGTATCTGGCGGCGACCTTTACTCAGGACAATCGCTCTTGCTCCCTATAATAAGATGTCAAACTCTATGGTGACCTGGTCTCGCCGGGTCCAGAAAGGTTTCAGTCCTGGTTGCGATGGCTCTCTGTCTTCCCCGTTACCTCTAGCAGTTTTAGTTTTGCTAGGACAAGATCTTTGTGTCCACAATCAGATATTGTCAGTGATGGCCAAAAGGGTGTCCAAGAAATTTAAAACCAAATGGACTCTTCCAGGGGAGGCACCACCTGTGCAGTATCTGCCAGTGGGAGGTGGCTCAAGGCATCTGCATTAGTCACTTGGCTTCCTGGACAGCATTCTAACTTGTACGTATTGAAGAATAAAGACCCACCACCGAATTTGACCAGGGAAAACTATGGGCAGCATCACCTTGTCTTCCTTCAGTAGCTTTAGCAGGGTTTGTAATCTGTTACTATGACAAATTTCCATCTGTAAAGGTACTGGTGGAATTTCCTCACACCAGAGATGACCGCCAAACCTTCCTTCTCTATCTGGGCATATTTGAGTACAGCGTCAGCCAAAGTCCGGGAAGCATACGCTATTGGGCGTTCTTCTCCATTGGGCCACTGGTAAGCCAACATTACCCCAATACCGTACGGGGAGGCATTGCATGTTAACACCACATCCTTCATCGGAACGTAGTGGCCCAACACCTTGGATGACGATAGCTGCTGTTTCACTTCCCTAAAGGCTACTTTTGTCTATGCGACCAAGGCAGACCCTTTTTCAATAGTAGCTGTAAGGGTGCCAAGATGGAGACCAGGTCACGTATGAATTTTCTCTAATAATTCACTAACCCAAGGAAAGACTCATGCTCCGGTACAGACGTGGGAGCCAGGGCTCCTTTGATTGCCTTCACCTTTATCTTCCAATGGGTGTAACTTGGTTTTGTCAACTCTGTAACCCAAGTAGGTCACTTGGGGCACCTGGAACACACATTTTTCCCTTCTAAGTCGTATGCTTGCCTGGGAGAAAAGTTTTAAGCACCATGTCCAAGTTCTCCAAGTGCCCTGCATTGGTCTTCGTGATTGTTAGCACGTCATCCAGATAAATGTCAAGCTGGGTTAGGCTTTGTAAAATATTCTCCGTGGTCTGCTGGAAAAGGGTGCAGGCTGATGATTCCCTAAATAGCAGTCTTGTGTATTGGTATAAATCCTTATGGGTGTTAATTGTTACTTCTGGGAGTCCTCATCCAGTCGCAGTTGCAGGTAGGCATGGCTCATGTCCAGCTTTGTAAAGGTCAGACCCCCTGACAACTTTGCATATAAGTCCTCTATGCAAGAGATTGGGTATTTATCCAGCTATGAGAAGTGGTTCACCGCTTGGTTAAAATCTTGACAAAGGCAAACTGAACCATCAGGGTTCACATTTGGTATGACTGGTGCAGCCCACTCTGCAAACTGTACTGCTTTGAGGAATCCTTCGCTCTCCAGCGTCTTGATTTCCACCTCTACTTTTGCCCGTAAGGCAAATGTCACCAGGCATACCTCACAAAATCTCGGAATTGCTTCCTGGTCAACGTGTAAAGTGGCTTTGGTCCCCTTGATAGTCCCAGGCCCTTCTTGAAAAACCCCAGGATATTTCACTAGGACTTCATTGAGGCAGCTATTTTCCATTGAAAAATATTGAGCCAATCTAGGTGAATCTTTCTCAACCAATTCCTCTCCAGTAGGCTTGGGCCTGAGCCTCTTAGTATCATCAGCGGTAACTGCACCAACCGCTTCTCATAAAAGTTTTGGAACTGAAGTCGTACCCTTTAATTTGCAATGGTTCCCCAGTGTAGGTACTCGATCTGACCGAGGTGTTGTGTATACTTAAGGGTTGGAGATCCAAGCAAATCTTGTTAAAGATATAGCTGCACCAGTATTGACCTCCAAGGGAATTGTGTGACCATTTAACCAAACATTACTTTTAATAGGTTCTGATTTGGACATCGCTAAGTAATTTAATTATTCCAACCGACATGTAGGAGACTTTCCAGGCTGTGCACTCTCCTGGGTACCAGCCTATGAGTTTTCCTACTCAAGTCAGGCCTTGTAGGACTTCTTTGCTTTCTTGACTCTGTATACCAGCAGCAATTACAATGCCTTGCTGGCCCAGATCCTGAGGATTTTTTTTAGGCACTTGGCCGAGGCTTGGCTTTGTCCTGGGGTCCTGCTGTGGGCTGGCCTAGAGTCCCTCTGCTGAGGATATGCCCTGCAAGAGGCTCTGCATTTGCCTACACTGAAGTGGTGTTTTCCATTCTCAGTTAGACAGCTGAGGACGTCCACTTCCATTGGGATGCCTTGTAGTTCCCATCCTCCACTTGCAGCATTTTCTAATGACCAAAGCCAGTTGCAATGCCTGTTTGAAGTCCAGTTGAGCTTCACCTAGTAGTAGGCACTTCTGCGTGGTTATATCATTAACCCCACATACCAAATGGTCTCTCAGCATCTCATTCAGTGTTAACTCGAAATCACATGCTTCTGCCAGTCATCTTAATCTCATCAAAAATCCCGATACAGATTCTCACAGTTCTCTAGCAGCCAAATAAAACCAATAGCATATCAGAATTAGAGGAGGTTTGGGGTTGTAATATTCCTTTATCAACTCTGTCGGCTCTTGGAAGGTTTTAGTGTTTGGAGCATCTGGGAAGGTTAAGCCCCTTCTAACCAAAAATGATGCAGGCCTGCAAGCAGTCAGAAGGATTACTCATTGCTTTTCATTTGCCCCAATGTCATTTGCCTGGAAAAAATATTGCATTCTTTCCACATACTGGAGCCAGTCTTTGACAGCAGGATCAAACGATTCAAGAGTTCCAAATAAAGGCATAGTGCCAGAAATGCTTACCCCAACTCCAGGATGATTGTGAGTGAATATTCTTTCAGGATGTATTGTTTTTCCCCCATTGCCACTAAAATAACTGCACAGAGGCTGGTATCCCATCACCAAGTCACCCTTTATTTACTTGTGTGCGCTCCAGCTCAGAATCTGTACCCTGAACTGAGGAGATTCTAAAATCCTGTTAATATTGATCAGCCAGTGCCTCCTGATTGGGGTTATTAACCTGGGCCAATCAAGGACCTCTTAATCAACGAGATCAACCTGGTTCCAAGCACTACAGTGTTGTGTGAGGAAAATCATGTCTCACAAACTTGAGTGAGTTTTTGAGAAGTTACCAAAAAGATTGAGGGCAGAGCAGTAGGACATTATCTACTTGGACTTTTATAAAACCTTTGACAAGGTTCTACATGGTAGACTAATTAACAAAGTTAGGTCACATGGAATTCAGGGTGACCTTGCCAATTGGATACATCATTGGCTTAATGGTAGGAGACTGAGAGTGGTGGTGGAGAGTTGTATTTTTGGACTGGAAGCCTGTCACCAGCGGTGTTCCACGGGGATTGGTTTTGGGTCCTTTTTTTGGCATTTATATAAATAATTTGGATGAGAATATAGAAGGCATGGTTAGTAAGTTTGTGGACGACACCAAAAGTGGTGGCATAGTAGACAGTGAAAAAGGTTTTCTAAGAATACAAAGGAATCTTAATCACATGAGTCAAATAGGTGAAAAATGTCAGAGTTCAATTTGGATAAATGCGAGATATTGCATTTTGGTACAACAAACAGGGGCAGGACTTAGATAATTAATGGTAGGGCCTTGGGTAGTTTTGTCAAACAGAGGGACCTATGGGTTCCTTTGAAGTTTACATCACATAGACAGTGGTTAAAAAAGGTGTTTAGCACGCTTGCCTTCATTGCTCAGTCGTTTGAGCATAGGTGTTGGGAAGTCATTTTGAGGTTGTGCAGGACATTGGTGAGGCCTCTTCTGGAATACTATGTCCAGTTTTCTGGTCACCCAGTTATAGGAACAATATTACTAAGCGAGAGAGGGTTTAGAAGAGATTTACCAGGATGTTGCCAGGTATGGAAGGTTTGAGTTATAAAGGCCAGGTAGGCTGGGACATTTTTCACTGGAGCACAGGTGACCTTCTTGAGGTTTATAAAATCATGAGGGGTATAGTTATGGTTAATGTTGGGCGTCTTCCGCCTAGGATGGAGGATCTCAAGATTGGGGACATATTTTTAAGGTGAGAGGAGAGAAATTTTAAAAAGAGGGGCAATTTTTTTACACAGAGAGTGGTTCATGTGTGGAATTAACTTGCTGAGGAAGTGGTGGATGTGGGCAGTTACAATGTTTAGAAGACTCGTGTTTGAGGACACTTTAAAAGAATAGGAAATGTTTGGAAGGATATGGGCCAGGAGCAGGCAGGTTGGATTAGTTCAGTTTGGGATTATGTTCAGCATGGACTGTTTGGACTGAAGGGCCTGTTTCTGTGCTTTATGACTCTGTTATCTGGACCTGCTTCTGTACAAGTGGAAATCCTTAAGTGTATTTGTGTAATAATACTCTTGGCTTGGCAATAAACATATAACTGTGGAGTAATATGGAAGAAATCGTAATCTCTTTTCCATCTATGTATTGACCATGCTTTATTTTCAGATTTGCCCAAGCAATGCGAATAATCTACAGTGCATTTGTATATAGGTTACAGAACTTTTAACAGATGCTAAGTTTGGGAAAGGTCTATGTTTTAGAATCAAGAATAAGGCTCTTAAATTAGCAACAATTTATTTTTTATTCCTGATGAATTAATCCATCCCAGATCTACTGATTTTATAAAAGACTGTAGAAAATATTAGTTGCTTTTAAAACAAAAAAGTCACCTACCTTGGTTGAAAAACTGCTGTTCTGACTGTTTAGCTGGCTGTTTCTTGGTACTTTCCAGCTACTGATCAGATTCCTTGCTTGCTGTGCAACTCTTTCAGGTTTGCACCTTTCGAATCCTATGATTCCAGGTCTTCACTGGATGACCGTGATCTGTTCAGATCTGGCTTCGATTACAGTGATTCTGGACCTAATCGTAATGATTCCTACGGAGGTCGCTTTGACTGTTTCAACAACTCCATCAGGAACCGCAGGGATCAATTCCACAACAGAGCGCGTGACAGCTCCGGCAAGCAGTGGGGTCAGAACTGGTCTAGAGACAGACCTCCAAGTTACAGACCTTTCTGGAACGACTCATTTTCATCATATTCCAGTTCTGAGCGACTATCTGCACACTGGAATGAACTGTCAATAGGATATGGAGGCAGGGGTTATGCTTCCCTCTCCAGGAACTTCCCTTCGCTCTTCTCCCAGCCATCTGGCTTTGAGATCTTCGGCATGCAGGGAGTAGTAAAGCAATTTGGAGGTGGCAGACTGCGAAGGAGAGAGAGGAATCGATTCAGAATTGTAAGTAGAAAACTTCCCATTTTGTAGGGTCATAGACTTTAACATTCAGCTGTGAATTTCAATGACCAGCTCAACAAACTCATTTTCTACAAAAGTCTTGTACAGTCACTAATATCTCCTATTCTTGACCTTGATTATCAAATATAAAGATAAGGTTAAAAACAATAGAAATGTTCATATATATGGAATGGATCAGACGTTGCAAAAGGAGCTGCTGTGGATTGCTGGGGTGCTGTGAGTGAAATATGCAGTTTAGGGAGAAATATAGGCCTTTTATGAGATGAATGCAGAATGCCAGATCAGTTGGATTTTTCAATATTGAGTAGCACTTTCACAAATAATGTCTTTATACATAGGACATAGCACACTGGTGGTTGGTACTTTGAGATTTGCTGATATTACATTGCATTTGTTTCACTGGAAACATATCTATGTGTGTGCTTGGAATTTGCAAGGGTTGGCATTCAATGTTAAAACTGCTGTGCCTTTGCTAATGATTCCTAGTGGATTTTTGTACGTTTCAGTGAACATTTATGAAAGCATAATGGTGTGAACTTGTTTAGTACTTGTTACAAACTCTCGGACATTAAAGTTACTTTCTGGCTTAGTAGGCCAAAACTTTTTTGTTTCATTAAATCTGCTTGAAAAATGAAATTGAAGAATGACCTGTACCGAAGTGGCTTCAGTGTGGGACTCATTCATCGCCTTTAATACCTGCAGACTCGAGGTGAATCCAGGCAGGACTTTGATTCTTGCCTGATTTAATTTTGATTTGATTTATTATTGTCACATGTACTGAGATTCAGGAAAGGTATTGTTTTTGTGTGCTAACCAGACAAATCATACCTTACCTAAGTACATCAGGGTAACAGAACAGAGTACAGAATATAATGTTACAGAGAAGGTGCAGAGAGAAGATCAGCTCTAATATTTGAGAGGTCCGTTCGTAAGTCTGATAACAGCAGGGAAGAAGCTGTTCTTGAATCTGTCAGTTTGTGTTTTCAAACTTTTGTATCTTCTGCCTGATGGCAAAGCAAGTTGAACAATTTATAAAGTTCTCCAGCATTTGATTTGATTTATTGTTATGACATGTACCCAGGTATAGTGGAAAACGTTGTTTTGTGTGCTCTACAGGCAGATCATACCGTACAAAAATTCATCAGGTAGCAGAGCAGTGCAGAATGCAGTGTTACAGCCATAGAGAAGGTGCAGAGAGAGAGATCACATCAGAACCTAGAGCACAAGACCTCCTAGTGAGCAATATCCAGCCAAAGTTAATTTGTTGACCAGTATTCTGGTATCTTTGTAACAGAGGAGAGGTAGAGGCCAAGAGATGGGATTTGGAAGAAAGAGGCAGCCTTCAACTGCAAGCAATGATGAACCAGATTCCAAAATGTCAAGAACGGACCAGTCAGATCTTTCGGATAGTGAAGCAGGTAACCATTTTTAAAAATTTGTTGCACACACTCCTTGTTATTTTATGACATTTTAAAATAAAAGTTTGAGCCTAAATTGTGAATTTAGGCTCATTTTGTTCAACTATTTGGCCAATCCTGATCAATCAAATCTCAATCCACTTTCTAGCTGTAGTCAGGAGATAGTGAATCTTTCTCCCTCTCTCGCATAAAGAGTTATATTCAACTGGTAGCTTGCTTCTTATCCAGATCCTAAACCTTGGTGACATCAGTGTCAGTTCCAAACCTATAATCTGTCTCACCACACCTCTTTTGTTCCCTTGTCTATCTCAAATAGAAAACACTGCTCAGAAATAGGTCCAACTCTTCTATGCTAGTTTTGTGTTCTACCTATTCTATCATTTCAGCTATTCAGTCTATTTTATCTCTTTTCATTAGTCAGACTACTTGTCTGTATTTCAACTCCAGATTAATTCCTCCAACTAAAAATTGGGAAGGTGAGAGGCATTGTCTTCTATTCCTGCTATAAACTTCATTTGTTAGTCACCGATTCCATCCCATACCCTGGGAACTGCCTGAGCCGGAGCTGATTTTGTTTATAATCCTGGTGTCAGACTTAACCCTGACATGTGCTTTTGACCACACATTGATGCCATTACTCCAGGCACCTTTGTTGACATTATTCAACTCCACCTTTGGTTAACCACATCTCCTGCTGAAGCCCTTGAGCCTCTGTTGACCTAGAGGTCTAGTACGGTCTCAGCTGACTCCCAAATTTTCCCTTCCCTGAATTGGGGTCTTGCAAAACTGCTGTCTGAACCCTGTTTAACCACATTTTTATGATTGCTCGCCCACATTACCTCCCAGTTAATTAATGCTTCAATTTTCACGCTGTTGTTCCAAATTTGACCACGGTCTTAGCTTTACCATCCTACAGAGTATTGGTGCTCCTCTTAATTCGGTCATCTTCAGGATCTCTGATTTAAGTTCTTCTATCACTGTCCAAGTCTCTAAGCTTTAAAACACCTTGCCTAAAGCTCTCTTCCCTTTTGTTCCTTTTAAGATGTTTCTTAAAGTCTACCTCTCTGTCTGTCTTGATAATCACTTTGGATTGTTCAGTGTCAAGTTATTATATTAAAGCTGCTATATATTATTGCATATTTTGGGACCTTCCTGAGTTGTATCAATTGACGTATTAATAATCCTAATAGTTGTTTTCTCTTTTAAAAAAAAACCTTGTGTACGTATCAACCTAAAGCTGAAGCCAATGTATCTTCCTGTCCGGCTGTGGTTGGATATATTTTTGAGGTTAGTATGTCTTTCACAATGGTGAAGCTCTGAACAAAATTCATGTGGTGGTTTGCTTCCCTTTGTCTGAGAGGTTGGTCAGGTTTTCAGACACGTATTAACATTTTTATTGGAGGGGTTGCCCTGGTGTATGCATGTGTTCTGAGTATGGGATGACATTGAATTTCCTTAATTCATGAAAAGTTTGCACACCCACTGTTTTGATATAATTTGGACTACAGGTTACAACATAGTACTGACCTTTCTGTTCATTTTAGAAGAAAAAGAGCAAGGTTATGGAGATGATGTTGAAGATGCTGCAGGAGGTGACACCTGTGCTGTGAGTATTTGTGGAAATATTAAAAGTTTCATCGTGGTAAAATGTAAGATGTGGTTTCAACATACCTGAAGAGAAAGGTCTCCATAATTTGACATAAAGCCTGGTCTTATAGGCTCAGGAATCTCTGATTGACATGACATCTATTGTTATATCCACTTGTTAGCATTATTGCATGTTGCCCTTAATTGATGTCATTTAAATCCAAAGCACAGAGGAAGGGCTGAACCTGGGCTCCCTTTAGAAAACTAAAACATCTTTAAAATTTTGCATTGAATTAATTTTCATTTATGAAACTGGAGGAATATCTTCCTACTTTCCACTTGAAACATGGTCACAGATTTCTCAAGTAATGGTTTGAGAGAATAAAACGCAACATTGTTAGAAGTTCTCTCTTTCCTTTCATCTCTCACCCTGTGTGACTAATTTTTTTTGTCCTGGATTTTGCCTAAGGGACATCTAGTTTAGAGAAAATGCTGCAAGTAGTTTTCTATCGCCCTAAAGGTTGTGCTGTGGTGTGGGTTTAGTAAGTATTGGTTTAAAACTGCAGTCACCAATATAACCTCATCCAGTGTGTTTGTTTAAAAAAAACCCTGATGGGATTGTTGGTTTGTGTATCATTGAAACTGTTTTTCTATATTTAGAACATTGAGGATAAAGATGCAACTGACACCCCCGAAAAGGAGAAAAAAGAGAGTGATGCAGATGGTAAAGATATTAACTCCAAGAAAAGAGGACTAGTTGTGTCAAGTTTGATTGTTTGTTTATTTATGATATGTAATAACCTGCATGTAATCTCTTGTTTTTGGTTAGCTGGTGATGGACAAGAGGAAAGTAATGAACTAAAAATGAAAATGAAACCGAGGAAGAAACAGCGGGATCGTATTACAGAAAGGTAAAGGAGCGTTGCTTATCATAGATCTATGTGCAGTTGCAGTTATCCTAAATTTAGGTTGTAGACTTGCTCGTGTGAGCAGGTGTGTTTGGTTGCAGACAGTCACCTTGCTAGGTAACATTGTCAGTGCGTCTGCGGTGTTACGATGTTACCTAGCCAGGTGACGAAATATCTGCAACCAAACACACCGGCTCGGCAAGCAAGTCTACAACCTCATCCACAACCCGAGCTACAAATCTTCTCAAAAACTTTATCTTAAATTTACATGGAAAGGTTTTTATGTGTTTTGCATAGTTTTCAACATCTGAACAATAGGTTCCAGTTTTGGCATTGATTAGATTATGGGATGGATTGTATAGTTTAAAGTGCTTTTTGACTATATGATTGATTAGAAAATATCTTAATCATAAATCTGTTCAGAGATGTTATTACACACTTCTGGAGCAGGTAAGGCTTAAACTCAGGTCTTCTGGTTCAGAGATAGGGACACTATCACTGTGCCACAAAAGCCCTGGTTTATGATGAAATGTAGTCACATGAATAATAGTCCCCTGTGGTAATGTGACCAAGCGATCACACTTCCTGGGTAGAGGCTGTGAGATATTGTATTATGATTCTCTTTATCAACTCACTCACAAGCGTTTAGTATATGTTTAGTATACTGCATTTCCATTCACTCATTCATAAAACTGCATTTTCGTAATACTTCTTACTCTTACAAGAGAAGCTAAATTAAACATCCCTTCCAGCCCATTACCATGCAATTATTTCGGCCCCATGCTGCAAACACTGTTTAGACCTATTTCTGTATCAAAAGCTACCCCTGAATAAGTGTTATTACTGTAACCTACTCAGAACAATGCCACCTCCGTCATTGTGTCTCCTTAACTCACTCAAAACTATGGAAAGATTATAATGTTAATTAGCCTTTAGCAACCATCTCTCGGGACCTGAATAGGTTGCAGAACAACAAACAGTTTCCTCCACTAATATATACTTTTTTAAATACATATTAAATAGGGCCGCCATCCCCTATAAGAAACTTGCTATCCAAACAGCCTTCCTTGAAACTGCATGAATGAATGTGTAAGAACTGTCAAAACTGGCAATAGTAAGTGAAATCTCACGACCTGGCTGTGAGAGATCAATTTAATACCCTGTATACTTTTATTTAGTACACCGATAGTTTCTCACTTATTTAGTCATATAGGTATATAGGGTTAGTACTTTTACTAACATTACTAACTTTAAAGACAAAAAAACTAACACCTCTTAATTACGCAAGCTCAGACCAACAGACGTTCTAATTCCATCAGGAATAACAGCCGGCATTTAGCAAGTGTTTAAACCATCTCCTGCTTACCCAGGACAGATGTCATGCGAACTTGTGTATAATAGATACAACTGTGTGACACCATAATGCTAAAATTTTAATGTATGTAAAAACTGTGTATAATAGAGGCTACTGTAAAACTGTACTTTGGATTCCATCACTGCCTCGAACTGTGCTACTGCGGATGCTCAATGAAAAGGCTATTTTCGCCACTCACCAATTTTGGTTGTTATTGAACACGTTCACGCAAGGCTAGCAGTCACTTAGTTTTACAAAGCCATTCCCAGTGCTTTCACTATGTGGTGTTCAGCAGGGAGTGGCTGCTTGGGAACTGAGAAGCTTATTTTGTAGCCTGACTGCAAATCTAACTGAATAAGCATGGTTCAGGGTTGCAATTATGATCTCTTTGTGCTTTATTTCTGATTCTCTGGGCCGTTTATCATGTAGCTGACCTTGTGAACCTTTAGCAGGATTACAAAAGTTTGAAATTAACTTAAAACTGGCAATTATGATGATCAGGTCTTGTAGCCCAATGATGTCTAGTAGTAGGATTGCATTGGTCAATTTCAATACTGCAATTGAAGATAGTAACAATATTGATGCAAACTATATTTTTCACAATAAAAATATGTTTATTGCAGAATAATGTATGCCTGCTCAGTTTGCAAGTTTCGCACCTTTGATGATGAAGAAATTTTCCCTCACTTGGAAAGTAAATTTCATAAGGAGAACTTCAAATTCATTGGGACCAAGCTTTCTAAGGAAACAGCTGAGTTTTTGCATGTATGTTAGAAATGTACTTTTCTTGATGTTTGATACTTGGCTCATGCACAAGTAAAATGCACAGAAGGGTGGATAATGGTGCAAGGCATATTGTGTGTTTCCAACTTGTGTTAGAGAATGGTTACAAGATGTGAATGTGAGAGCCTGGGCAAACTTCATCTTTTGATATGACACTCACCAGACTTCAGAACTCGCAGATCATAATCTTTGCCTCCTAGTTTTTTTTTCAGAAAGCACCCGTTTGTGATCTTTTTACTTTACTTTTCTCATTTGCAACATCTATAAGCCCAACTTTAATGTCTTTACTTGTCCCATTGCCATTTCCTTTTAACTTGCACCATCATCCATCCGTCTGTCATTTCATCCCTCCTGTCTTTCACTCTTTCATAGATGTTCCTTCTGTTTCCACTGCAAAACATTCCCTGCTTCTGCAATCATTCAAAACCCATAACACTTCTGTTTTATTTTCCAGTTCTGATGGAAGGTTAACTAGCTTTTTCTCTCACCAGATATGCTTAATATTTCCAGCATTTTTCTGTTTTTGTTTTACTGAACATTTAGACTTCTTTTGTTGTATAGTCAGGCAGTACTGAACTAACTTGATGGTTAAAAGCTTTTGTAGAAACTGCTACTAAGTAGTTAGAAATGGCAAGACTTGCATCCCCTTGAAACTGTGATGGATGATCTGTTGCTGGTTCAGCTGAGATCCAGTTAATCACGCTGGTATGTGCTGTACCTGGTCACTTCTGTTTTCACTGTACTTCTAATAATGGGTCTGCTGCTAATCCTGTTGCTTGGCAGTGAACAGTATCATGGAATGTTAGCCTTTTGATTCTAGCCATATCAGTCAGACATCCAATCTGAAGGACAGACTCTCTAAACATACCTCCCTTTTACCCTCTAAAAGTACTTTCCTTTTCCCTTCTGGAAATTTTCAATTATCAGTGCTGGGATCTTCTATTTCGTTAATCATCAATTTTTGATGTTCCTGGAGTGAAAATTGTGATTTGCTGAGTGGAAAAGTTCCAGCCAGAATGTTTAAATTCTCAAAATACTTTCTGCTTGCAAACTGATATTGGGCCTGTTTTAAGATATCTATTTTCACAATAAATGGGTCTTTCCTTCCAGGAGTATGTTTTGAACAAAAATAAGAAGACACTGAAATTTCGTGATGCAATGGAAGATAAAAGTGCAATTATAAAGAGGATCCAGGAACAAAACCTCTTACATGGTGAGCATTGCTAAACTGGGATGTGTATTTGAACAAGATTAATACATTTAATCACAAAACTTCATTCATCACTGGATGGAGTAATAATTTTAGTCTATTGTCTTTTATGCCATTTCTTATATTTTAGAATTATATAAAATAGTGGCATTTACTGAACTTCAATAACATTTTGAAGTATAAAATTCCATATGCTAACCACAGAATGTGAGGAAAAATTGCTTTTGCTCCTCCATTTCGTGCTTTGTGTAAATCCTGCATTTGTCCCTTGAAACTGATGCAGCATTTAGTGAAGATTTCTGGTGATTTACACTGATGTTCATTCTGAGTTGTATAGGCTGGCAGCAATCTGCAAGTCTCCACATAAGTTGCACAGATGGTCGTTCAATTACAGTTGAAAAAAGAAAAATCAGAGGCTGTGTTCATTTGCCCTTTAACTTTTTCCATCATTTTCATTATTTGCAATTTTCCATTTAAAATTTTTCAAGCGTCATCATAATTCCCTGACTATATTTATTATCCAACCAGAAAAGAAAGACTTTGCATTTATGTTGCTCTTTCCAAGGCCTCAGCATGTCTCCAAAAAACTTTACGACCTGTTTGCACTTTTTGTTTTATTTTTGAAGATTTGACATGTTAAATCTCATTTTTACACATTAGAGTTGGTTCAGGGATTAATGTTGGCAAGAACAGAATTTCATCTTTGAAATTAGTGCTATGCGATCTTTTATGGTTACCTGGTGGCGGGGGAATAAGTGTTGCTTCAGTTTATTACATTGAAAAAGCAACAACTCCAACAATGCAACATCCTCTAAACTAAAAAGTGCATGACATAGCTAATGTCTTACACAGACTGCTTGTGCACTCAGTAATTTTCTTGAATTCAAGTACCATCTTAAAAATCCATCTCAATTACTCTCATTTCCAGATACTCGGTAATATTCTCAAGTTACCTACATTTCAACAGTGACTATACTTCAAAAGCTACTTCATTGGCTGTAAAGCATTTGAGCTACCCAATGGTCGTGAAAGGAATTATATAAATGCAAGTCTATTTTATTCATATCTCACTGATCACCAGTATTTTGTCTGGCATGACAGTAACGTTGTTTTCTTGTTCACTTCTACTTCAAAATGCAAGAAACATTTACCTTTCCTTTAGTGCTTACCTTACCTTGGAGAATTGTGACTCTAGTCAATTGATTAGCAGACTTTGCTTCTTTTTCTAATACTTGTGTTCCAACGATATCACATTGTGTTGCTCATGCTCCTGCAATCTCCACATTTTTTTGATAGATAGAGGTGAAATAATTGAGTATCTTTGCTATTTACTATTGTCTAGTTTCCTGTTTCCATATGTATATGTATTAGCCTCTATGTTGCTACCTTTAAAAACGTTTAGATAAATTTGGCCAGATGACTACCATATGAATTTATGAACTTTCCTCAGTGAGAACTTAACATTTTAGTGGTGTCTTCTATCTGGGTGGCACAGTGGCTCACTGGTTAGCACTGCTGCCTCAAAGCACCAGGCACCCAGATTCAATTCCAGCCTTGTGCGATTGTTTCCTCCCCCAGTCCACAGATCTGCAGGTTGGGTGGATTGGCTGTACTAAATTGCCCCTGGTGTCCATGGATGTGCAGGCTATGTGGACTGCTCATGGGAAATGCAGGGTCACAGGGACAGAGTAGGAGGGTGGGTCTGGGTGGAATGTTCTTTGGAGGGTCAGTCTGGACTGGATGGGAATGGTCTGCTTCCACGCACTAGGGATTCTATGATCTGCTTAATTTCTTTGTCTTGCAGGTATTAGTATTGAAAATTTTATGAAGAAGGTAGAAGCTGTCCACTGTATAGCTTGTGAAATGTTCATTCCAATGCAGAACAATGCCATCCAGCGACACATGAAGACATTTGACCACAACAGGAATAGAAAAGTAAATCTGTGTGCTCTCTCCACTTCAGATGAGAAACTGATCTTTACTGCACTTTCGCCTTTCCACTGCCACCATCCCACCCCCAACCCAAAAAAAAGTTTTGTAGTATGATCTCTCGGTTTAGAGGAATGCATAGTCTGTTCTCGAGATGTAACAGTTCAGATGAGATACTGCCTTGAATGAAGAATGGGGCAGTTAATTTTTTTTTTAAAACCAACATGCAAGTAAGATTATCATTGCAACATTCTATCTAACGTGGTAAATTAACATTTTTAAATTAGAGATGAAATTTGGACAATATTTGCTTGGAATCTCAACTACTGTCAGGTATATACCTTGAACATGTTCACAAGGTGTTCCAGAGAAGCAGGGAATGCCAAGGGTTTCTGGAAAGTTTGGAGAGGGAATATTGCCTGGCTGTACTACTGCCCAGGTCATTTGCTGCTGAAACACTCATTCCTGCCTTTTAGTTATTTCTGGGTTCTTTCCATGCTGTCCTCAGTGACATCCCATCTTGCACGCTGTAAGCTTAAGTGAATTAAAACGACTGCTTCCTGTGTCCAAACTAATGTCAAATCTCATTTCCATAAAGTCTGAACTCACTAACTTACTTTGACTCCTGGATCAGCAAAGACTCAATTTTATAATATCATTATTTTTAAATCCCTCCATGGCCTCTCCCCTTGCTTTCTGTAATCTCCATCACTGGTGGCTGTTTCCTTATCTACCTTGATCCTGAGCTCTGGAGTTCTCCACAACCACCCGATCCCCGCCAAAATACCCTCCAGATCTCTCAAACTCTCTTCTCTCCTTTTCAGACACTCCTTAAAGCGTATCTCTTTGATCAAGCTTTTGATCATCATCTATTTATTTGTTATATGGCTTAGTCACAAATCTTGTTTAACAATGCTCCTGTGAAGTGACATTTTGCTAGCTTAAAGGCAACTTTTAAGTGCAAGTTGCTAGTTGAAAGCTAGGCATTTAATTGCTTAAGAATAATATGTAGGGCTTTATTGAAAGTAGGGGTCAGGTTGAAGATTCTTCCAAACTTTCTATTGCATCTTTTAAAATGTAACATGACATCCCAGCAAGTTTTGTAGGAGAGCTAACAGAAAATTTTATGCTGAGACATACAAGGATATCTTAAGATGATGACTAAATGCTTTGTCAAATAGTTGTTTGGCTTGAGTTGATTTTAAGGATCATGTTAAAAGAGGAGAAAAGTAGAGATATTTAAGCAAGGCATAGCTGCCAAATTTTGTCTTGGGAAGTGGGCGCAGCAAAGGAAATCTGGAGTGTATAAAAGTAATGTAGTGATTACTGAGTGTTATAGATAATAGAATTCTGAGTCAGATGATGAAGGTTAGAGCTGGAGCATAGTCTTTTTCACTTACACCGAGTTTTTATTTGTAGAGAAGCACAATATATGTACGCTTCCAAAACTAATAACTACAGTTTTAGCCTGCTTTTATACATGTATTGAGTCCCAATATCCACCATCCCAACACAATTAAATATTACACTGATGTGCGTGTAAGAGTAGAGCTTGAGGAAGGGACAGATAGTTAAGGGGTGAGAATTTCAAATTTTGGGGCATTGTTGAATTGGAAGCTAGTGTCAGTGACCATAAGTGTGATGGGTTTTTGGTCAGGGTTGGGATCACATGAGCACTTATCTCATACTTGTGTAGCTGATTTATTGTAAAATAGTGGTTTGCTTTTATTTTCAGATGATGCTTGAGCAGTCAAAGAGGACTAGTCTTCAAGTAGCTAAGAGTATACTCAATAATCGTAACATTGTGACCATGTTGGAAAAGTACCTCAAGGTAATCTTCAAAATCATGCCAGTGTATCTCACCAAATAGTTGGAGGAATTGCAGTTAGTTTGCTGATTTTTTTTTTCTAAAATATTAATGTATTTCTAACTGGAAATACAAATTTATTCTATTAAAAATCCACAACAATATATATAAGTCAATCCAGAATTTCACTATATTTAGCATTTTCTTCCTTAAATTAGTTATCAAGCATAGTACACAATATCTTCCTGTGTTACTGTTTTAACATTTAAACCACTTTGAAATTGTGTAGAAATGCTTATTTGGATTTCCTCCTAAGAAGAGGTGGCAATTTTGGAAGAGATGTTCATTATCAGTTGAAGTTGCTCAGCAACATGCTGAAGTGATTAAGCATGTAAGGAATTGGTGGCTGTTATATTTTTAAAGTTCTGAAGCGATACAGACCAAAAAAGTCCCAAAGCTAATTTTGTAGTATAAATAAATTGATCACTTTTGAGATTTCTGATTAGGCTTCGTTCCTGATTCCTGTTGGTTGCTCAGTGATGAGTCCACAAAGTACCGTGTGCACCTTGTGAATGTACAGAATGGGCTTGCTTGTGAAGAACAATACAGCATTGCAGGGGACCATTTGTCCCACTAAGCCTATGCTGGCTGTTTGAAGGAAATTATCAAAGTGGTTCCCCACTACTGCCGTTTCATCATTGCCCTACAAATTTTAAGTATGTGTCTAATTCAGTTTTTAAAGGTTGCTCTTCAATTTGCTTCCTTTCAGGCAATGCATTACAGAGCGTAACATGCTCTTCTCATTCCCCTCCCCTGGTTATTTTACCTTATGCCTGTGTCCTGTGATTACTGAACCTCCTGTCAATGTAAACAACTGCTTTCTGTGCTCAGTTAAAACCCTGAATAATTTGCAACATTTCCATTAGCTCTTATTTCAGACTTATCTGCTTGCAAAAGAATATAGACAGCCTGTTGTGTTACTGTCATAGCTTTCATGCAAGTGACTACCTGAATGAAATCCAGAACTGTTTCAGTGGAGACTCTCAGACTTTTGGGAGAAAATTTGCAAGATAAAAATGTTTAAATGAAATGTGTTCCAACTGGAAACTTTGGAATCTTAACCGTCCCAAGTTTTTCAGAGATCTAAAATTGTTTACATTTTGCAGGGTGAGAATCCCTTTACTGAAGAAGATGCTAAAGGAAATGAAGATGGTATAGATGACCCTTTGGAAGATGATGCAGGTGAAAATGTCAAAGAGAAGAAAGATGAAATTGCAGAAGGTGAGTGGGCAGAAATAAAGCGAGAACCAGGGGAAGAAGGTGATGATGGTAAAATTGTCAATGCAGATCAGACCATTATTGACAAGTCTGAGCAAGGAGCTGATGCCACTCATGAAGAAGGGAAAGCAAACTTGACAGGAGACCAATATAGTGAAGAATTTCTTCCAACAGAGGAATCTGCTGAAGTAGCCGAAGATGAAGATAAAATCTTGGAAGCTGGTGATGGAGAAAATCCTGATGAAGGAACTGAAAGTCCCTCAGGTGGCGGTGATGATACAGAAGATTTGGAGTAATTTGTTGTACAGATGAAATTGTATTTGTGTCATTTGTTAATTCAGCATAGAATTCTCTACAAGTACTCTGTCTGAATTAAAGCAATGTTGTTTTAGTCACCAGAAGATTCCTGTATTGATCCTGGAACATGTATTTGGGATAATTCAATGCCATAACTGTTCCAAATCTGGTGTGGCCCTCTGCTTCCGAGCTTTATCTAGCTAGTTTTATGTGAAATGCTGTTCTCTGTGGAAGTGGTTCATGAGTGCATTTGCCTTGTTGACTTCCTTTTAATTTTCTAGAGAAGGTAACACCAATGTCTGTGCAAAGTGACTTTACCTTGTTAGTACTTTCTTTTAAAAGGAAGTTTACAAGTGTCATTGCATTGATCCCTAGATGAATATCCGGGAACTGGGCGTGAAATTTGTAGTTCCCCGTGTTTCATTGTATAATGCAATTCCAAAACTGTCTGCTCATTCTTTCATCTTTGGATTGAAGATGTTGAAGGGGATTTCACAAAATTAGTTAGCTCGAAGAAGCAAAAAAATGTTGCATGCTGATGCTTTAGTGTTTTCAAATCGCCTTTAATGGTAAGCAGAAGTAGAGTCATATTGTGTAACCAAACTTTCTACTTTTGCTTGTCCAGCAGTTTAAGTGGAACACAGTTTATTGGAAATGTGACAGAAAAGTTGTTTTCAGCTGAAGTTTTTGCTTAAAAGTTGAGTACAATTTCCATTTGTGAGTTTTATCTTGGATTTTAGTGATATGATCTGGGTGCAGATGGAAATGTACTTTTTGTTTCACTGCTAGAAAGAGGAGTAATTGTTTCTGGAAACGATTGTATACAATAAAACTATATTAAACGCATTTTATAAAATGTTATTGTTTTGAAAGAATAATTTTGTCTTTCTCTTTGTTAATGAGTACAATATTATATTGGTTGTGTAACTGGTCTAGTAATCCAGAGGTGTCTGGATTACTTATTTGCAGGATGTGGGTGCGGCGGCCTAGGCCAGCATTTGTTCCCCATCCCTAATTGCTCAGAGGTCTGGAGTTAACATGTATGCCAGATTTCCTTCTGTAAAAGACATGAGCGAAACAGGTTGGGTTTTTATGATAATCAGCCGTGAACAGTCAACATGGTTGCCACTGGCTAACTTTTCCAGATTTTTATTGAATTCAAACATTGCTATCTCCCACAGCAGGATCCTAACCCATGTCCCCAGAACATTAACCTGGTGTTCTGAATTACTAGTCTAGTTACATTATTGCTATGCCTGCATGTTCCCAAACTATACCACTACTTGCCCAATATATGAATGAGTTCAAATCCCACATTGGCAATTAGGGAATATAAATTTGGTTAACTGAATAAATCTGGAACAAAAAGCTTGTATCAATAAACAGTAACACAAGCTACATGATTATCATTAAAAATTCCATCTAGTTTTTTGATATCCTTTTGGGAAGAAAATCTATCTTCCTTAATCAATCTGGTTTAGTTGTGACTTCAGACCCACAAAATTGAGATACTGGTTTTCTTCAATTGGATTCTTGAAGGTGGGGTTTAAAAAATGTAAAAATAAGGATAGTTTATTCTTTTTTCTTTTAAAGTGATTTGCTTTTGATTAGTCCCCTTGCTTCACTTGATTGACTTGATTAACTTAATGGTTGGACCCAACACGTCCAGTACCAATGTCCTATGCTTAAACAAAGGAGACTATGATGGGATGAGGGAGGAATTAGCTAAGGTAGAATGGGAGCAAAAACTTTATGGTGGGTCAATTGAGGAACAGTGGAGGACTTTCAAAACGATTTTTCACAGTGCTCAGCAGAAGTATATTCCAGTGATAAGGAAGAACTGTAGGAAAAAAGATAGTCAGCCATAGATGTCTAAGGAAATAAAGGAAAGTATCAGATTGGAAAAAAAAACACATACAAAAAAGCAAAGAGTAGTGGGAAACTAGTAGACTGGGAAATCTTTAAAGGCCAACAGAAAGCCACAAAAAAAATTATAAAGAAATGTAAGATAGATTATGAGAGTAAACTAGCTCAGAATATAAAAACAGGCAGCAAAAGTTTCTATAAATATGTAAATTGTAAAAGAGTGGCGAAGGTAAACATTGGCCCTTTAGAGGATGAGACTGCCAATTTAATAACTGGGAATGAGGAAATAGCCGAGGCATTAAACAGTTATTTTGTGTCGGTCTTCATAGTGGAAGACACAAATAACATGCTGAAAACTGATGGCAAGAAGGTTATAGCAGGTGAGGACCTAGAAACTATCATTATCACGAAGGAGGCAGTGCTGGGCAAGCTCATGGGGCTAAAGATAGACAAGTCTCCTGGCCCTGATGAAATGCATCCCAGTGTACTAAAAGAGGTGATGGGGGAAATAGCAAATGCACTAGTAATTATTTACCAAAATTCACTGGACTCTGGGGTCGTTCCCGCAGATAGGAAAACAGTCAATGTGATGCCACTGTTTAAAAAAGGAAGTAGACAAAAAACAGGTGACTATAGACCAGTTAGCTTAACTTCGGTAGTGGGGAAAATGCTTGAATCTATCACTAAGGAAAAAATAGCAAGACACCTAGATATAAATTGTCCCATTGGGAACACCCAGCATGGGTTCATGAAGGGTAGGTCATGTTTAACTAATTTGGTGGAATTCTTTGAGGACATTACTTGCATCGTGGACAATGGGGAACCTGTGGATGTGGTGTATCTGGATTTCCAGAAGGCATTTGACAAGGTGCCACACCAAAGGCTGCTACATAAGATAAAGTTGCACGGTATTACAGGTAATGTATTGGCATGGATAGAGGATTGGTTGACTAGTAGAAAACAAAGAGTTGGGGTAAATGGGTGTTTTTCTGGTTGGCAGTCAGTGGCTAGTGGTATGCTTCGGGGATCAGTGTTGGGACTGCAATTATTTACACTTTACATAGATGATTTGGAGTTGGAGACTAAGTGTGGTGTGTCAAAATTTGCAGAAGACACTAAGATGAGTGGTAGAGCAAAGTGTGCAGACAACACTGAAAGTCTGCAGAGGGATATAGATAGTCTAAGTGAGCGGGCAAAGGTCTGGCAGATGGAGCACAATGTTGATAAGTGTGAGGTCATCCATTTTGGTAGGAATAACCGCAAAATGGACTATGTTTTAAATGGTAAAAAATTGCAGCACGCTGCTGTGCAGAGGGACTTGGGTGTCCTTGTGCATGAATCGCTAAAAGTAGGATTGCAGGTGCAGCAGGTGATTAAAAAAGCAAATGGAATTTTGTCTGTCATTGCTTGAGGGACGGAGGTTAAAAACAGGGAGGCTATGCTGCAGCTGTATAGGGTCCTGGTGAGGCCACACCTGGAGTACTGTGTGCAGTTTTGGTCTCCTTACTTGAGAAGGGATATACTAGCACTGGAGGGGGTGCAGAGGAGATTCACTCGGTTGATTCCAGAGTTGAGAGGGTTGGATTATGAGGAGAGACTGAGTAGGCTGGGATTATACTCATTGGAATTCAGAAGAATGAGGGGAGATCTTATAGAAACGTATAAGATTATGAAGGGAATAGACAAGGTGGAGGCAGGGAGGTTGTTTCTGCTAGCAGGTGAAACTAGGACTAGGGGGCATCGCCTCAAAATAAAGGGAAGCGGATGTAGGACTGAGGTCAGGCGGAACTTCTTCACCCAAAGGGTTGTGAATCTGTGGAATTCCCTGCCCAGTGAAGCGGTTGAAGCTACCTCGCTGAAAGTTTTTAAGGCAAGGCTAGATAAATTTTTGAACAGTAAAGGAATTAAGGGTTATGGTGAGCGGGCAGGTAAGTGGAGCTGAGTCTCAAAAAGATCAGTCATGATCTTATTGAATGGCGGGACAGGCTCGAGGGGCCAGATGGCCTACTCCTGCTCCTAGTTCTTATGTCTACGCTGGTGTTTATGTTCCACCCTATGTTGTTTGTGAATAATTTGTTGTTTATTCTTTAATGGGATGTGGGTGGCAATTGTTTGATTCTTGGCTTGTTTTGAGAAGATAATGGCAAGCTGCTGCTTTCAACTCCTGCGCTCCATGTGGTGTATGTACAACTACAGTGCTATTTGGAAGGAAGTTCTAAGATTTTGACCCAGCTATTAGTGGAGTAATGGTAATATAGTTCCAAGCCAGGATGATGTGTGGTTTGGAAGATTTCATGCAGGTGGTGTTCCCACATATCTATCACTCTTACATACTTCTAAGTGTTAAAGCATCATGTTTTTGGAAGGTGCTGTCGAAGGAACCTTGGTGAGTTGCTGAGTACACCTTGAATGTGGCTTAATGATCTGAACTGTAAATAGTTTATAGTAGTGAATGTTTATGATGTACTTGAACTGTGTTCAATATGAATCTATATTCTTTGCTTCCACTACACTTATTTGGACCTGCACCTTCAATTTATTTGAGATAATGAAAGGAGCTGCAGCAGTATAATACTTTTTCAAACCACATGTTGACTTAAGTTTGTATGTAGTTGTTCTTCTTTTGCAGTTTTTAATTTTAGAATTGTTAAAGGAATGACAGCTTTCTTACAATGATTTAAAAAGCTTAAAAACTATTGTGGAATCTTTATACATTTCAGTTTTTCAGGTGCAACATAGATTAGGAAAGATCTATCACCTTGACTGCTTGGGCGGTAAACCGACTTGATGTAGAATCCACTGATTTGCTATCAATGGTGATGAAACTGAGCGACGTGTTGTATGTGGGCTATTTGTTCTGAAGGTTTACTGGTTTCTCTGAATGGTGTAGCACCATTTACTTCATGGGGAAAGGAGAATTTTCCTATCACGATGAACGTTACATCTGAGGCTGATTACTAATGTTCTACATCCACAGTAATGTTATTTTCGTAGAGATCTGCTACATTATCAGTGGGAAAGGTGGAATTCCTTTCTGAATTTCCATGTTAAAAGATTTTCTTGGAGATAAAACACAGTGTAATCATTTCCACCCAGTTTTTTCCTCAGTCAGAATTGTATTTTCCTCTTGTCTGTTCCTAGAATCAGAGATCAAAAAGGCAGGTGAAAGTACACAGAGTAGAAGTAGAGAATTTTAGATATATTTCTGCTTTCTGAAGCATTTTGTTTTGCAAAGTTTTCTTTTTGAGCTTAATGTGCTGTGGTACTCTTCTGTGGCATTATACCTTGTCCAACTGAATGTCAGTTGGCTCTTCGGCCATGAAAATTATTTTTGTTCTCACAAGGCAGTCCCTCAGACTGAGGATTACTTTCATAGTTAAGACCATTAGCACAGCAGGGGTGAAGAGTGAAGACATTGGAAGGAAATGGTATGGTAGAAAGAGGTGCACATCTGAACAATTTAACTTCAAAATTTTTCACTTGTCATCTCACTGCTTGGAATTGTGGTGAGAAAATAGGCTAATAAGATCTTGGGTTGTTACAGGCTCAAGCAGCCTGCTTTTGCAAGGGAAAAGGAGGTTGTGATACTTTAAGAGAAAGGAATACCAAGTCAGTTTCAGAAGTGTGCGTCAGAAAAATAAAAATTTTGCTGTTGTTCCCGTTGCTTTTATAGTCTTCTTAGGCAGTACCTCAAGATTGAGGATGCCTTGTCTCATTTCAGAGTTCTGGGACCTGAGGCGACTAAACAGTCCGATGCTGCCACAAGTGGTGTTAGAAGAAACAGATGGGTTGGATGTTTGAGTTTTTGGATGATCCATTTGTTTGCGCTTGGACTCCACCTGTTGGGTCTGTTGGAGATTGGAAAGATGCTTGGTACTTGATGCTTCTTAAGTTTATGCAGTCTAGGGCATGAGATACCCACAAATGGTTGGTATGATTTTTTATTTCCCCTGGAGGCTTACAGGACATCCTTGAAGTAATTTCTCTGGCCTCCTTTCCACGATGAAGCTCAGAGTAGAGAGCTTGTTTTTGAAGTCTTGTGTCAGACATGCAATGTAGCCATTTAACACAGCTGACTGAGAGTAACCAGTGGTACAATACCAGGGCTGTTGGCTTGAGAGAGGACACTGATATTGGAGCACCTATCCTGTCAGTGGATTTTGGGATTTGTGGAGATGTCACTAGTTATATTTCTATCGGGGTTTGAGATGTCTGCTGCCCATGTCTCCAATACAGGCAGCACTAGTGCCCTGCAGGTTGAGCTGTGTTCCCTAAATAGCCAAAAGCTGTACTGGCATACTGGAGGCAAAATTATATTTTGTTGTCTATGTCGGAGGAGACTCTGAATTGATTCACATTGGTAAAAATCTTGATATTCATGGGACAGTGATTGTACAGTGGGAACAAGCTGGTAGAGGAATTTTGTCTTCTGGATTTTTAGCCTAACAACCATTCTCTCATGCTGTCTGTGTACTGTAGTTCAGTGACTGAGAGTGGGGATGGTCTTGGTTCTAGACAGGAAGGGTCATAATTTGAACAGTTTCATGCTTATCCTGTTGAGAAACTTTACTCCAGCAAGAAGCTTTATGTATATGGAGTGAAGTGTTGTGATGCAGAAGATGAAGTGTGTTGGTGTGATGACAAAGTTTTGCTTGACCCCAGTTTTCATGTGTATTTGTGGCTAAAATGAATCTGTTGGTGAAGATTATGGCTTGCATGCTGTTATGCAGCAGATAGAGAATAGTAGTGAATTTCTGCAGACAGTCAAATTTGAAGAGAACGTTCCATAAACCATTCTGGAGGACATTCAAGGCTCTTTGAGGTTGAAGAAGACCAAGTATGAAGTTTGTTGCTGCTCTCCGCTTGGACTTGTCTTGTTGTGCCTCTTGGTGAATGGAAATCATGTTGACTCTAACAGGTGCTCTTCAGTCACTGGAGAAGAGAACTTTTGCAATGATGTTCCTTGAAATGGACAGCAGAACAACCCCTCTAGTTACTGCAATCAGTTTTATCTCTTTTCTGTTGAAAGTGGTCACAATTACAGCATCTTGGGAGATCTGTTGGAATGCTCTCCTCCTCCTAGCTGATGGAGGTGAGGGGTATTACAGCTAAGTCTAATCCAGCTTTCCTCTGAGATCCTCATTCATATACTTTCCCTCAGGCATTTATAAATTCACTGGAGCAGCAACAACCACTGCTAAATTTTACATTCCCTAGCTCAGTATAGTTTTGGAATCAGCCTATGTCATGACAGGGTCTAGGTGTTGAGTGGACGTAGGCATGCAATGTGGTGTTTGGACTTTAAAATAATTGAACTTGATATTGAGTCCTGAAGGCTGCAGGATCCGCAAGCAGATGACATGTTTTTCCAGCTTGCACTGAGCTTTGCTGAAGCACTGCAGCAGGCCCGAGACACAAATATTGGCCAGAGAACTTGTTAGTATGGTGAAGTGGCAAGCAACTGGAAGCTCAGGATAATTTTAAAGGACAGAATGTGGGTGTTTTGCAAAGCACTCAACCAGTTTATGTTTTGTTTCTCCACAGCCGCACCCCCCCACCCCAATGTAGAGGAAATCACATTGTTAGCAGCTTAACATTGAAAATGGGGACTGGGGCAAAGGGATGCTGATGATTATTTGGGAAAGGCTAGGTATTTGTCAAGGTTTCTGAAGGTGCTGAGAAGCAGTAATGTCGTCAGATGTACAATAGAACTTCATAACAGAAGGGCGGATATGGCTGAATAATGATGAATGATGAAACCAGGGGGTTGGGATGCAAAGGAGGCCAAAATTAGGAGACTGAACACCTCAAACTGAGAGAAAGCTGGAGGAAATTTAGGATGGGATTTGAAAATTAAAATGAAAGTTTCAAGATAAAGTAAGAAAATATATCACAATTATATAATGCTCTCTCGGATCCAGGCACACGCCAAAGCACTTTACAGTTGATGTTCCTTTTAAAAGGCAGAGTCTCTGCTATAATTATAGGAAACAGCAAGGTCCCAGAAACAGAATTGTGTTAAGGATGTGGATAACTGTACTGTTACAACATTGAATTAGGCTAAAATACACATGCCTACTGTTTAAACCTACTGAAAGGTTTTAAAAAATGCTACCACTTATCTGGATTCTTGATGAAGTAGCATTTTACAGTCAGCAGGTAGTGTTCCTCAAATTATTTGTCACTAGTGCAAAGCTAAATAAAATACAAGAGACGTCTGCCACCACTAAAAAGATAACATAGTTCCTGAAAAATAGTAAGCATATATTGAATATATTTATTTAAATACTAATACATTGGAAGTGGTATTTCTAGGGTGTACAGATGTCACTTTACAACAATCGCAAAATAATTACAAAGCATTGGATTTTGCTGATCTATTTTTCTAACTTTAAGTTTGAAACTGACAAAACACATTTCAGCCTGCGAAGTTCCTAACTGATCGGTGAATAACTTCAGTAGTTGTTACTGTTGTGATGATTCAAACAAAACAATATCGTTTAAAGGTAGTTTACTATTCAGCAAGCTGCCTATTCAGGGCATTTGGTCTCTTCAAGTTTCTCCCCCTCCCCTTTAAGACAATGGAGGTGAAATTTCTATCAAGGCCCAGTTTAAACTCCACCTGATTTTTCTCTCACTGAGTTGAATTTTGCTCACACTGGAAAACAGTGCTGCAACACGTGGGAGCTACAATACTGCATCCAAAAATTGGTGGTATATAGCTTAGGGTAAAACTAAAATGGATAAATCATTGCAACTGCATATAAGTGCTTATCCATCACACTTTCGGTGGACCCTACATAATGATCAAGAGATAAACTCTTGCTGGGCATTATTTCCCCAGTCTGCCTCAGTAATTTTAATGCACACACCACTGACCCAGCTGAGATAATCAAACTCCATATATATTAATGATTTATGTGGGATCTTGCAGGCCATATTGCAGGGTGTATTTAACCTCTAAGCTATCGCAAAGCTTCTAACAATTTTATGAAAACATGCATTTAAGATGGTGCTAATTTGTCGTATGAATCCAAGAAGGCAAGTAGGGTAAAAGTGAAGGACATCACATCTTCTTTTGCTGTCTGTGATATGGCTGATTATATCGTCATGCATCATGGATGACAAACATTACCATGCTGATTAATCATGCACCATCCATGATGCCACGGGTCATACATTTAGTTGTTTCATTTCAAATAAAATACACCATTTCTGAGGTACATAATACAGATCTGTGAGTATAAACAGCTAACTGCTGTAAGAAAAGAACCAATGTGCTGTTGGTTATTTAATACAGGTAATGATACACCTCATGCATCACCTTTCTTTAAGCAGTATTTTATTATCTTCACCAAATCCTATCAGACCTTTGGTAATTATCTTGTGTATCTAGATTTGGGAAAGGGTGAAAGAGGGTTTAGGTTGTAACTGCTTACCTAAATTTCTCTCTCTCTCTCTGAGGAAGAAACCTTAGGTCAGCAATGTCTAGATTACATCAGAAAACTACAGCCATTAATGCACATCTCATCACCCCTATGGTGCAATATATCAGGGCACTAACAACCTCAAGCTGCTCCTTCAGTTGGAATCAAGTACAGACAACTTTCTATTGAGCTGGTCACTATTGGAAGATAAACAAATAAAATTGGAAAATAATGTTCTCAATTTCCATAGCAAGGAGCTGTTCCTGTTTGGGAAACAATACTGAAGCAAAGTTGGCTTCTTTGAAGTTGGGGGGGTGGTTTTGATTTTCCCGTTCTGCTTTTTTGTTAACTAAAGATACGTTCCCATTCCACACCTTCCATTGTAAGCATGGTTGTCAAACTCACATGATAACCAATGCTTTATAGTGTCAGTGTATTGGACCACTATATTGTCCTGGTGTAAACTTTACCTCAAATGTCTGAATTATTGCTAATACGAAAATTGAGTCAAATGATCTTGCTGTTATGAAGTGGAACTGCATTAGGGCAGTGATGCTGTATCTGTGTAAAACATCATCATCCTATTAAGTGAAACATACCATGGAACCAACTTTTAGCCACATCTAGGTTTGATACGATTAATATTTAGCTTGATGTGGTATTTGTAATCTGCTCCCTAACTTCCAGAGGTAGGGTTTTAAAAATGTCATCTTCTACAATCAATTGGTTTTTGCGAAGAGAAACACATTGTCCCAATTCAACTGGAAGTTTATCCAGTTTGTTGACTTTAATGTCCAGAAATTGTAGTTGCCGGAGACATCCGATAGAAGGAGAGAGGTAAGTTAAGTTGTTATGTGAGATGTTCAGCACACGAAGCTTGGTGCAAGAGAAAAGGTTTTCTGGTACTTCAGTCACCTTATTGCATTCTATAGCAAAATGCTGCAGCTCTACGAGCTGGTCTATGTCAGGAGGGATCTTGGAGATGTGATTGTGCGATACATCCAGGAAGAGTAGCTTTGTAAGTTTAAACAGACTTGGAGGCAGGAATTCAATCTTGTTCTTATTGAGATAAAGCATTTCAAGTTTAGCAATTTTGGCAATGTGAACAGGAATTGAAGTGATGTTGTTATGCCATAACCTGAGACAGATGAGTTTTCGAAGGTTTTGGCAACTGGCAAGCTCCTCTGTTGAACTTAGGTTGTTGTCTTTGAGATCCAGTTCCTGTAAGTTGGTTAAGCTGAAGATGGCACTAGGAATTCTTTCCAAATTACAATGGAGCAGCCTCAACAGAGTCAGGCAGAAGAGCTTCTTAATGTTTGCAAGAGATGTTATTTTTACACCCTCGTTGTGGATTATCAGACATAGAAGGTGAGGTGCCATGTCTAAAATTGCAGCTGGCAGCTTGGTTATGTTAGTTTTCAGATGCAAAGTGTCTATCTTAGGTAGCTCACGAAACATTTGCAGAGCTGTGGAGATTTTGCTGTCTGTTTGCAGTTGCCCTTCAATATAGAGCTCACGCAAACTTTTCAGGGTGAATATCCACGGAGGTATTTCATCAGCAATACCAAATCGTACACGTAAAGTTATCAAATTCTCCTTCAAGAATAAAAGTGCCTGCCTTTCCACCTTAACTGAACAATTGTATAACCACATTTCTTTCATCATTTTCAGGTTAGAGATGGCCGCAGAAATGGCAACACCTTTGATGAGTTCCAGCTTTAATACCTCAATCTCAGTAAGGTCATAAACCTGGATTGGAATTCCAGGCATCATGAAGAGATGCATCTCAACTTTGTTCTCAATGTTTGTGAAGAGACGCTGTTTTAGCCGCTCCTGACTCCACTCATGATTCAAATTGAGCTGAAGAAGTTTGTTCTCACTCACATCTGACAGAAACACGGCAAACTTCCGGGCATAAAGTTTGTCGTACTGATCGATAAGATGAAGCAAGAATGCAAAATCATTTCTTACATCAGGAATATCATCCATCTCAGTCTCAACCCTCACATTTTCAAATGAATACTCTTTCAATTTGTAATAGAGTATCCAGTGTAGTGTATACAGACAAGTGCAACTGTATAAGACAATTGCAGTTATATACACTAAGGATAACATTCGAAACATCCTCCATAAACCATGAATGCAGAAGAAGTCAGTGAACCCTGTGATGTGCAGTGCATCAACACAGTGGATATTATTACACATTTGAGGGATGAAAATGCTGATGTAGACAAGGATAACAACGCTTTGTACAGCTCGGACAATGGTCTGATTCAAGTACATTGTATAGAGAATGTCTCCCTCTTCTGTGTGGAGGCGGAACTTCTTCACCTTTTCAAACAATGATTTCGCCTGTTCGCCTTCTTTTTTATCCAAAATTTTCACCGAGGAATTGTCCACCATTATACCACCAGCAGCTTTCAAAACTTGCGAGGAACTTTTGGATAAAAGAGAAACTTTATCCGCTTTATGGACGTCATTACTGAAAGCCATTTCTTGTGACAATGACTCAGAAGAATCAACTTTCATTGGACTATTAATAGAAGATAGCGATTGATCTATATTTGATTCTGAGACTATAGGTATTCTGGGGGTAGACTCCTCATACACTGTTTCTGACAGCGCTTTGGTGGTCCATGGAGAGTCTAGGCATTTCCCAAGCACAGTTATAAAATGTTCTATCTTTGAACTTGTGCCAGGAAATTTGAACCAAAAGTTGCTACTGATTAGAAATATTAGAGAATGCAGAAGTACCAGATAAGGGAAATATTTGGAAAACCATATGACTGCATTATCATAGCACCACTGATTGATAAGGTAATATTGCTGGACATCTAGGCCAGTCTGGAATCCAGTAGCAAACACACTAAAGTTGAGCTCCTCCAAAACAGAGTGGTTCCACTGGCGCTCTTGAATGGAGAGACCCTCTGGAACCGGGATACACAGAATCTGCTCATTTGATACCTGAGAAATAACAGATTGAACATTTATTAACTAATTAATTAAGCCAGATCAATTAAATAGTCACTTTGTAGATCGTGTCCTGCTCCATTTTACTTTCAATGCATGATACCAGGAGGGCTAATCTTTTCCCGTTCTGACTTCATGGCTCCAATTTACTTACTTTGACAAGGATGTCACTCTCACCCCTAGATTTTGTTTTATCTGTATTACTCCAGCCACAGAGGAGCAAATTATCTAAAATACTGTATTATTATGCAGTAAGAGGACATTTTCAGCAAAGATCAACTTGCCCAGAGGAGAAACACAGTAAAATAAAAGTATACTTGGAAATGAATGTACTGGTCATATGGGAGCACTGTTCTGAGGTACACAAAACAAGTTGAAACAGTATACATCACTCAGCAGTTTTACTGTTTTGTTTCCTTCTAGATGGCTGGAGAAACTATCATGTCCTATACCTTGACTGTGATAATGTATTTGAGAAATCAGTAATTTTTTTGTTTCTCCAGCCTGAAGAACAGCATTCATTCCATGCGGGCTGAAAAACCATATCCTGCCAAATAGGCCATGAACATACATTCTGGTAGATTTTATAGGCCCCTCTCATTACAGTATTCTTAGTCTATAAATAGTGTCTGGCCCTCACAGCTCCAAAACTGATATTCTGTGAAGTATTCTGTGCACATAGAACACTAATTCATATAGATAGAAACCAGGAGTCATATTTTATTTGGAATATTTCTTACATCTCCAACAATTTATGCAAATCATGTGTAAGATGTACATCAAGAACAAGAAGGTACAGATTTAAATGTAGAAAATGGGATATGAGAAAATACCTTTGCTCACAGAAGATGATTTCAGTCTGTAATGCACTCCTGGAAATGTAGTGGACGCAGGTTTAAATAAGGCACTTGAGGGCATGAGGTGATTGTTTGTATTCAAATAATCTGTAACGGTTTGGGGAAAAGGCACGGGGATGACAATAAGTCATACCGTTCATCGGGTAGAGGTCGGGACACGGTTGGACGAATGGTCTCCTTCTGTGCCATAAAATTCCTTATGATTAACCACAATCATAAGGAATGGTGGAACAGGAAAATCAAACCCTGAAAACAATGCAGATTATCCAGCACGTTGGATTAATATATTATTTGTAACTAATGGTCACACGATCAATTACAGGTATTTTACTTCACTAGTTGAAATGAGATAGCTAATGAGGATGCCTGCCACCTCCTCACTCCATCGTTCACCTTACTCTTACAACAGATATCCAACCACAGATGGCTAAAGTTAATGGGAGAACACGTTCACAGGACGACTGAATTTGTAGCCTGGCATGTTAAGAAAAGCCAACTGTAGATGAAAAATATTAATCAAAAGGCTCAGCTTTTTGAGTATCAGATGGGAAATGTGGTGATAGTCTTAAACTATTTAAGAAGGAAGCATGCCTTTGAACCCAAGCAGATGGAACCTTACGAAGTTGTGGATAAGCCAGCCCCACTATGTACTTAGAGATAGTAGGAACTGCAGACGCTGGAGAATCTGAGATAACAAAGTGTACAGCTGGATGAACACAGCAGGCCAAGCAGCATCAGAGGAGCAGGAAAGCTGACGTTTCAGGCCTGGTCCCTTCTTCAGAAATCTATGTCCTTACTCCAGATTCTGGTAAAGGAGGCCTAAATGGTTCACCACCAGTCAGTTGAAAAGTCACAAAAAATAACCACTTCACAATTTTTGCTCACAGATCATTAATAGATGCTCCACTTAAACTTGTGATAGACTGCCAACAAAAATTGGTGCCAAGCAGCCAAAAGTCATCATCAATATAAAGTGAGCATTGACTTTATGGTCTACTGATCTGACCATACAGAACAACAAAGAAGATCAAGGCAACATTTGGAGAGTGGCCTCGGGGAATGGGTGTGAACGTGACTGTTTATTGTAATTATTGTGGCTAGAAAAGACAAAGCACACATGCTAAGGGTGGAGGACGAGGATTGATGGATGGGAAGTAATGTGTAAATGTTCTAACTTGGAAAAGAAGAGGAGGGAAACTTAATGTCTGAATTCCTGCATTTGGCTAGAAACTCTGCAAACAGCAAATGAGGACATATTAAACTGCCCAAATGTGAGCAAAAGACATCAAGAGGTGATAGGATGCTTTAACACAGGCCTCTTATGTAGAAACAATCTGGGTAAAAAGACAGACAGTGATTCAACAAATTAAGATACTTAAAAAGAAAGATCAGGGAGGCTGGGTTAGGAATAACATGAAGAAGACTGCCTTCCAATAGAAAAAGGACAAGTGAGTGGATTAGTAGTTGCCCATACTAACAAACAATTACAGGATGATGTTTGATACAACTGTGTTGGAAGGGGAGGCAACGGCCTTAGTGGTATTATCACTGGATTGTTAATGCAGAGATACAGGGTAATGTTGTGGTAACTCAGGTTCGAATCCCACCACGGCAGATGATGGAATTTGAATTCAATATGAATCTGGAATTAGGAATCCAATAATGACCATGACTCCGTGGCCGACTGTCGGAAAAAGCCCATCTGGTTCACTAAGGTCCTTTAGGGAAGGACCATCCTTAACTGGTCTGGCCTACATGTGACTCCGGACCAACACACAATGTGGTTGATACTTAACTGCCCTCTGTGCAATTAGGGATAGGCAATAAATGATGGCCTAGTCAGTAATGCCCTCATCCCATGAATGAATTAAAAAATCAATTGACAGTAGTATCTAGCATAGTCCAACGGGAACAATGTCCACCGCCCTGCCCCGAAAAGTTTTATCCACAAGTAGACTGAACGTACTAAGAAATACTGGTATAAACATGAGCCAGGATTTTCTAGAAAAATATCAGCCACAGGATATCTGGAAATCATGGAATACATGGCATGCGAAAGAAATAAACATGATAGAAAATGGAAATTGATGAAAATGTAAAGAGACAATGGATAGAAACATCAGAACATGTGATAGCATAGTCAAGTCTGATGTAGCCATATGCATGGAAAGATATGATATACACAATGTCTCACACAAAACCTTCACCATGTCCTGTCCCAAAAACAGCATGTTCCCAGCAGCGGCGGTGGCACAGTTGAATACTCAGGAGAGAGTTGACCTGGAAGTCCTCAACACTGACTGCAAACGCCATGACATCTCATAGGCGGGGGCTTGGAAGCCTTATACTGACCACATCCTGCCCACCCATCTCCTGATGAATCAGTACTTCCCGATGTTAAACACCACTTGGAGGAAGCAATGAGAGAGGCAAGAGTGCAGAATCTACACTGGTTGGGGACTATAATACCTATCTCCAAGAGTTGTTTGGCAGCGCCACTACTGACCAAGCTGGTCAAGTCTGAAAGGATGTGGCTGTTTAAGTGGTTCTATGGCAGATGGTAAAAGGACCAACAAGAAGAAAAAACATACTTGACCTCATTCTCACTAATCTCCCTATTGCAGATGCGTTTGTCCATATGAGTATTGGAAACGACCATCGTTCAGTAGACAAAGCCCCATCTTCACAATAAGAGTACCCCCCACTATTTTGTGTTGCACTATCATCATGCTAAATGGGCACAGGCTAAATGCCATGGGTGGCATAGTGGTTAGTGCCTCACAGCATCAGGGACCTGGGTTTGATTCCAGCCTTGGGTCGCTGTCTGTGTGGAGTTTGCATGTTCTCTCTGTATCTGCGTGGATTTACACTGGGTGCTCTGGTTTTCCTCCCACAGTGTAAAGATGTGCAGGTTAGCTGGATTGGCGATGCTAGATTGCAAGCAAAGTGGGTTAGCCTTGGTAAATGCAGGGTAACAGGAGAGGGTAGGGTGCTGTGTTTGGGTGGGATATTCTTCAGAGGGTTGGTGCAGACTCAGTTGGCTGAACTACCCTCTTTCTGCATTCTCGGGATTCAATGATTAAATCGAATAGACTTAGAAGAGATTCAGTAATCCAATAATCCAATAATCCAGGCATCCACAAGGCACTACGGTCTACGAACTGCAGCAGAATTCTGCTCCAACACAATGTGCAACCACGTTACTCTGCATATCCTATCTCTACCATTACCATTACCATTAAGTTGGGAGATCAAACCTGGTTCAACATGGAGTGCATGAAGGCATAAATAAAACTGAAGTGTCAATCTACTAAAGCCACAAAAAAGGATTACTTGCATGATAACCAGCATAAGTAACAAATGATAGACAAGCAGACCATAGGACTGCTCTCTCATTAGAGAGAAACAACTGGTGGTGGTTTAACCTGAGGGTCACCACACCGCAGGTAGGGGGCAGGTAAGAATAGGTAACCTCAACAGGTCTGGGGTTTGAACCCGCACTGTTGGTGTTACTCTGCATTGCTAACTGACTGTCAAGCCAACTGAGTTAACCAACCCCAATATATCTGCAATTTTTCAGTGTCATTGGGTCAAAATCCTAGAACTCTCTCCTGCACTTTGTTGTGGGTCTTTTAACATCAAAGGGACTGCAGTGATTCAAGATGGCAGCTCACCACCAATGTCTGAAGGGCAACTAGTGATGCAAAATAAATTCTAACCTAGCTGCACTTTGTCATTCTAGATCATAATTGTTGTAGGTTTGGAAGGTGTTTTCTAAAGTATCTTGGTGAATTTCTGTGGTCTATCTTGGATTTGGCATGTACTGCTGCTACTGAGCGTTGGTAGTGGAGGGAATGTTTGTTGATGTGGTACCAATTAAGCCAACTGCTTTGTCCTGGATGGTGTCAAGCTTCTCGAGTATTATTGGAGCTGCACTCATCCAGTGGGGAGTATTCAGTCACACTCCTGACTTCTGCCTTGTGGATGGTGGACAGGCCTTGAGAGTCAGGAGGGAGCTACTAACTGTAGGATTCCTAGCCTCTGACCTGCTCTTGTCATCACAACATTTATATGACTACTCTAGTTCAGTTTCCGGTCAATTCAATAGCAACTCCCAGGATGTTGACCGTGGAGCAG